TATATCTGGTCCATGTGTGCTCTTTTCAGCGTCCTTATTCCGCGGGTGTTTCTTCTCTTTTCGGCCCTTCAATTTGGAAACACCTCCCACAGCGTCAACCCGACCTTTCCATAGCCAGTCCTTGGACGCTTCTCTCGTTGGGATTCTCAAGGTAGCATCTTCCTCGATATCGATAGTCAATTTGAACTTGGTACTCTGTCTGGGCGCCCCGAGTTCAAGTGATGGAGAAGGCTGTGAGTCTCGGTAGAAGTTAGGAAAGAATACCGCTTGGATGCCAACACGTTCCCTATCAGCCCAGGGTCCATAATTGATGGTTCCGCCCTTTACGCACAGATGCATACCCCATCCAGGAGCATCAGCACCATTGATATCATCAGAATGTTTGTGATCTGAAAACCGTGAATCCATTCTGCCTGCTGTCACTTTCCCCGGGATATCCCAATAATATTTGAAGCGGACGCTTGGAGAATCTACTAGGGTTGAGAACCGGGCATATTCAATCGCGTTCCAGCCTTCATGTGCATCTCGATCATCTTCATCTAGATATCGAGTAAGCCCAAGCCAGCGAGATTCACCCGGCAAGCCTGTCCTCGCTGGAGAATCCAAATCAGTTCCAATCACATCATTCCGTACACCATTGTGAAAAGATTCAACTGAGCTCTGGAAATATGGTACCAAATTGCGAACGTTATGCCATGTCCTACGCCTATGGTGTTGGTATCTTGAATGGAGATTAAGGTTATTTGGTTCTGCTTTGTGATCCCCATTCGAAGGGCTTGATCCACTGACGACAGCAGCTTGTTGGGTTTGTTTAAAGTCTGGATTGGGTTTCATCTGAACAACTGGATGGCATAGACGGCATTCAAATATTTGTCTGAACATATCAAGTGGGCCAGCGGTACCAGCGTCAATTCTCCCAGATGCCCGTTCAAACTTTGTGGTTAACAATGATTTTGTATTTTCATTACCTATAACCATTGCCCCTGTATGGCAAACCAACTGCACGGGAAGAAGAGCCAAAAACTTAGAAGTTGGAGCCTCGTCCGTCAGGCGGGCTGAATTTGAATTCGGAGATGTTGAAATATTATGGGATGAACGGGTGCGGGTTGCATCGTCAGTTGTTGACCGTTGAGCCTGGTTATGAAGAGAAGTCGTCGTTTCAACATGAGAACGGGATTTCGCAAAATCTCCGCCATCAGTCGATGCACCGCATGTCTGTCCAGATTTACGTGGTTCCAGTTTGTCGCCATCATTTTCTCCGGTGTTATTATCATAATCTTTGTCACCACCATTAGAGCTTTCCTTGGGAGTATATCCAAACCCTGATAGAATGGAATCGTATGCCGCACTCCTGTTGTAAACAAACCACTCAAGACCATGGAGCGTTAATTCCAAGCGGCAAGGCAGCCGGGCCTCCTCGGTGATACCTCCCCGTTCTCCAGCGCTAGGGCTCGGGCTTCGCGTACTCTCGTCTGGGCTTAGCCCATCCCTTGCTTGTCGAACACTATCTGTAGTCTCGCGGCTACTTCGAGATAGGTCAACCTTACGTACGGACCTAAGCCAGTACCTCCACGTCAGATACCCCGATTGTACCAGTATTGTCTCATTCTCTCCATGGTATCGGAAACCTTTGAAAAATATCCTTCCACCAAGCAGAGAAATCTGAAGCGCATGTATGTCAATGTAAATGCCGTAGTAGTGCCAGGTATAGGCTCGAATCGAATAAGAAACTATGGTTGCAAAGAGCCGATTGAAGTAGAAGAGGAAAAAGAGCGTCCTGCATCGTAATGTTAGCTTTATAAACCCCTTCTGCCTACTCTGAATGCCACTAAATGTCAAAACTCACAGGGATGCCACAGACAATGAGTTCAACTAAAAACACCCTGCAAGTTGTTAGCCCCGCGTTAACATCGACAGACCAAAATATTTACCAGTTGAATTTGGGTACCGAAGCCAATGACTCCGCGGTTAATCTGCCCCCTTCCATAATGCTAAACTATGGTGGAGCTCCGTCGTTGGCAGTATCAAGAATCTGGCTGTCGCATTGCGATTTTTCGCAAATACCAAACATGTCTCAAACAATCTCTGCAAATGCTAGGTTCCGCAATAGTAGAGCTTCAGGAACAGCATGTCGTTGACTGTATTATCATATAGTTCATGAAGGAATCACTCATCTTTCAGTTGTGGGTGTTAAATTCGCAGACAAATTAAATGCTACTATCGTTAAGAATACCAAGAAACGAATGACGACGCAAAGGAGATCACGGGACGAAGCTTTCCCCTTACTTCGGCAATCCACAATTAAGAAGCTGCCTGGCTCAGTCAGGTGTTCGTTCACGTGAATTTCCTTCTGGTCCATATGAGACAAACTAATCGTGCCCCGCGCACCCACACCTGATGTGGGTGTGCCACAGCGCAATGATAAAAACAGCATAATAATAAAAATATTAACTTCTTCATTAATCAATCTTCAAATATTAATATATCACCACCACCATGATCAATAAGATAGATGATCTTGAAAAATGTATTCAGAGTGTCATTGAAGTCTATAATGATAATTGAAAACAGAAAATTCTATCTCTGACATGCAAATTCAACATTTCTTATCAATATCTTTGAGCAAGAATTAATGGAAGAAAAACATGCAATGCAAAGACTACACTGAACAAAAAGCTTAGCAAGAGCCAGGAGAATGCATTAAAAGAGTGGATAGCTCATATGAATAGAAATAATTGCTCACTGACTGCAGAGCAGATTCAAGATAATGCAAATCTCATTCTCAAATGCCATCATACTGATTCTTCAACCTCCTCATCCATGGTCAGCAAGATGTGGACCTATTGATATATATCAAGCTTGAATGAGTACAAAAGAGTTAAGCAGAAGACAATAAATCTGAAAAGAATTGCTGTTGAGAATATTAGCTATATCAAAATGTGATTTAATCATTTGAAAACCTTACTTCAAAAATACATATTTCAAATCTGTAATATCTACAACTTTGATGAGATTGACTTTCAAGAGAGTCAAGAACATGGAGAATGAGTTATTACTGCTTTTAAAGACTTTAATTCAGTTATAACTTCATTATATTCTTGAGAATTGATCACTGTGATTAAGTGTGTTTCAGCAGATAGTGAGATATTGAATCTCTTCATCATCATGAAATTCAAAACTCAACTTAAAAATTGATATATACAAAGCAATCTACCAGGCAGATATACAATCACAACATCAGATACTGACTATATCAATGATGAGATTGACTTTACATGAATTCAGCATTTTAATAAGATCTCTAAAAAATGTCAGCAAGACAGTCATCAATTGCTGCTTTTTGACAATTATAAATCTCATCTCATTGAAGAATTTCTATAATACTGTGATCTTCATAAGATTATTTTATATGAATTTTCTTCACATTTAACTCATATACTGTAATCTTTAGATAGTATATCTTTTCAGCAGTATAAGCACTATCATTCAAAAACAGTTAATCAAGCTGCATGATATGAATATGAGTAGTATGAAAAATATCAATTTCTACAGAATCTAGTTGATATCTGTAAAAAGACTTTTCAACTTTCTACTATTTAGACTGATTTTGCAGATTGTGGCATTGTCTCATTCAACTCACAATCTATACTGCTTAAGCTAGATTCAAAGATCTCTGACTACTCTGAGTTGCAAATATATGAAGAAGGCTTCTTTTTGCTGCAATTAAGTCACTCAGATACTGCTTCATCATAGCTATTCTCACTTAAAACAATTGAGAAGCTACAATGTCATATTCAAATGACAAAGAAGACAATGCAAGATATGAAGAATATACTTGATTTCAAATCACCTCATCTGAGCAATCAATTGAACAATATTTTCTAAGGTAGTCTTGTTCAGACAGAACTTAATGCTATAAGAGAGAGTGAGATTGAGAGTTACTATCTTGCAATCAAACATCACAGCACTAAAAATACACATCAGCAGATTCAAGTAGGAGGTATACTCACTGTCAGAGATGTAAATAGAAAGATCACACAATGTAAAGAGGAGAAAGCAGAAAAAGAACATTATAAAAAAGTTAAACATATTAAGAGAGCTTTGAAGAAAAATGTCATGAATTCAACTCAACAAGAGGTTAATGATATATATGAACATCTCATGAATAATACAGCTACTCAGATGATATAGATAAATTAATTATCATAGATTAGCAGTGTGGTGATGAGATATTAATTTTTGAAGTTCTAATTATCCATATTTTTATCATTACGCTGTTTTTATCATTACATTGTGGCGCACCCACATCAGGTGTGGGTGCGCGGAGGCATGATTAATAACCATGTATTGCAATGTAGCCTAGAAATCCGGAACAACGTTTCCCCGACACCTTTGGCCCTTCCCTCGCTTCTTTTTAACTTTTTCTCCCACCTCGCCCATTTCAAACCAACTTCTACTCCTTTCAACCCTCGACCTTCAAAACTTCAGTGAGGCTGCAAATCCCCTATCTCCATCTCTTGTCCTCTGAATCCACTGTTCTATCTTATCAGCAGGTCGAGCTAGGCCTCGATTCTGTTTCCGTTTCTTCAAGGAAAAAAAGAAAGAGAAATTCCATTTTCTCTTATCGCACAACCCCGCCTCTAGGGCCCTTTTCCGCACAGTAAACCGTCAGGATGGTTAAGTGAGTAACAACCCAATCTACACAGCTCCCAGAAATTCAATCATCTACCTACCTCTATATCTGTCCTTGGAAACGCATTGCTTCATTCTGGCTGTTTTTTTGTGGCTCTTTTCCCGCCTGGCTCTATTTATTGGTCGCTGCAGTGAAACAAGAGCTTGTTATTGGTTTTCTTGTGCTGACAAATCTCTTTCTCCCACAGCTTTACCGTCGAGGAGGTACGTCTGCTGCATCGCATCTGGCTGTATATACGGTTCCTCTCTAGGCGCCGCTGCTGCCATTAATTGGAGGGGCTAATTATGGAACATAGATCCGTCAATTGATGGACCGTCCGGCCAACATCCGGAACATGTCCGTCATTGCTCACGGTATGCTTGTCCTGATCGTGCAGAATTAACAATAAAAATATAAAATAAAAATAAAAATCCTGTCTAATGCAATATGAAGTCGATCACGGTAAATCCACTTTGACCGACTCTTTGGTCCAGCGTGCCGGTATCATTTCTGCCGCAAAGGCTGGTGAGGCCCGTTTCACAGACACCCGTCAGGACGAACAGGACCGCTGTATCACCATCAAGTCAACGGCCATCTCCCTCTATGCTCATCTGCCCGATGAGGAAGATCTTAAGGATATCCCCCAGAAAGTGCAGGGTAACGAGTTTTTGATCAATTTGATCGATTCGCCAGGTCACGTCGACTTCTCATCTGAGGTCACTGCTGCCCTGCGTGTCACTGACGGAGCCCTCGTTGTCGTTGACTGTGTGTCCGGTGTCTGTGTTCAGACAGAGACGGTTCTCCGGCAAGCTCTTGGTGAACGTATCAAGCCCGTCTGTATAATCAACAAGGTGGACCGTGCCCTGCTTGAATTGCAAGTTACCAAGGAAGACTTGTACCAGTCCTTCTCGAGGACTATCGAGTCCGTCAACGTTATCATCGCCACCTACTTTGACAAGGCTCTTGGTGATGTCCAGGTCTACCCTTACAAGGGAACTGTGGCTTTTGGTTCTGGTCTCCACGGCTGGGCTTTCACCGTCCGACAGTTTGCTGTCAAGTATGCTAAAAAATTCGGTGTTGACCGGAACAAAATGATGGAGCGTCTCTGGGTATGTGGCCTATATTAATATTCATTGTCATTTTGTACTGACAAAATTACAGGGCGACAACTACTTCAACCCCAAGACTAAGAAGTGGACCAAGAATGGTGAATACGAAGGCAAGCCTCTCGAGCGAGCTTTCAATCAGTTCATCCTTGACCCCATCTTCAAGATCTTCAATGCCATCACCCACTCCAAGACAGAGGAGATCAACGTCCTGCTCGAGAAACTTGAAATCAAGCTCACTGCTGAGGAGAAGGAGCAAGAAGGCAAGCCGCTGCTCAAGTCCGTGATGAAGAAGTTTTTGCCTGCCGCCGATGCCCTTATGGAAATGATGGTCCTCCATCTCCCATCTCCGGTCACTGCGCAGAAATACCGTGCTGAAACCCTCTACGAAGGCCCCCCCGATGACGAGGCCTGCATCGGTATTCGTGACTGTGACCCCAAGGCCCCCCTCATGTTGTACGTCTCGAAGATGGTACCGACCTCCGATAAGGGTCGTTTCTACGCTTTCGGGCGTGTTTTCGCCGGTACCGTCCGCTCCGGCCTCAAGGTCCGCATCCAGGGTCCCAACTACACCCCTGGTCGCAAGGAGGACCTGTACATTAAGGCCATCCAGCGCACCATTCTTATGATGGGTCGTTTCATCGAACCCATCGAAGACGTGCCGGCTGGTAACATCCTCGGCTTGGTTGGTGTCGATCAGTTCCTGCTCAAGTCCGGTACCCTCACAACCTCCGAGACCGCCCACAACCTCAAGGTCATGAAGTTCTCTGTATCCCCCGTCGTCCAACGCTCAGTCGAAGTCAAGAACGCCAACGATCTTCCTAAACTTGTCGAAGGTCTCAAGCGTCTCTCCAAATCCGATCCTTGCGTCCTGACCTACATCTCCGAGTCCGGTGAGCACGTCGTCGCCGGTGCAGGAGAACTCCATCTGGAAATTTGTCTCAAGGATCTGGAGGAAGACCATGCTGGTGTCCCTCTCCGCGTCTCTGATCCTGTCGTCTCCTACCGTGAAACTGTTGGCGACAAGTCAAGCATAACTGCCCTGTCCAAATCCCCCAACAAGCATAACCGTCTCTACGTCACCGCTGAACCTCTCAATGAGGAAGTCTCCAAGGATATTGAGTCCGGCAAAATCGGACCTAGAGACGATTTCAAAGCCCGCGCTCGCATCCTCGCCGATGAGCATGGGTGGGATGTAACTGACGCACGCAAAATCTGGTGTTTCGGCCCCGACACCACCGGCGCTAACTTGCTTGTCGACCAAACCAAAGCAGTCCAATACCTGCACGAAATCAAAGACTCCGTTGTCTCCGGTTTCCAATGGGCAACGCGCGAGGGTCCCATTGCAGAAGAACCCATGCGTTCTGTCCGCTTCAACATCCTCGATGTAACCCTGCACGCAGACGCCATCCATCGTGGCGGTGGACAAATCATTCCCACAGCCCGCCGCGTGTTGTACGCAGCAACCCTCCTCGCAGATCCAGGAATCCTCGAACCAGTCTTCTTGGTCGAAATTCAAGTCCCGGAGCAAGCGATGGGTGGTATCTACGGTGTCCTCACCCGACGACGTGGACATGTATTTGCTGAAGAGCAGCGTCCCGGCACACCGTTGTTCAATGTCAAGGCTTACTTGCCTGTTAACGAGTCATTCGGTTTCACAGCTGATCTTCGTGGTGCAACAGGTGGACAGGCATTCCCACAGTCTGTATTTGATCATTGGCAGATTTTGCCAGGCGGTTCGCCGTTGGATGTGACTACGAGACCCGGACAAGTTGTCACGGAGATGCGGAAACGGAAGGGTATTAAGGAGGTTGTTCCAGGTGTTGACAATGTGAGTTTTCCACTCTATCCATTACCATTTATTCCCTCTCTCACCTTCCCCCTCCCCCTATTTTCCGTCTGCGACTATGCTTCAACATTGGCTAACTCTCTTTCTTTCCTTTGATATAGTATTACGATAAGTTGTAAGGGAGGAATCAGGGAGTTTTCTTTCTTTTTCTTTTTAGACTCCTGGGCAAAAATGGAAATGAATATAAAAAGATATCCGGAAAAGTCCCAAGCGAACTCCCACGTTTTTCCCTTTGCTTTACTTTTAATTACCATATCCCTTGTCCATCTCCTCTGTGGCTATTGTGTTTCTTTTTCCTTAATGTAACGAGTTTGATGATTTTTTTTCCCCCCACCTTTACTTTTCTTGTCTTTGCGTGAAAACAAAAAGTAAATAAGAACTATCAATTGAATATAAAATTAATTTCCCTCAAACTAATCACTTTAGTCGTTCTAAATTGGCCGAGAAGTAGCTAGATAGAGAAAGGTCTGAAGAAATAATTTCATCCAATATTTCATCCTTCAGATCCCAGCTCTCTCTTTGCATGAGAATGATGTTACAGGCAGTTTCCGTTCACCTTGCCCACGATGACTAATCATACACGTGATCATCTAGAAATCGGAAGCTATGACAAATTTTTAACTTCTGTCCTGCTTCCTTTTTTGCGCCGAACCCTGCTACAACATCACCAAGTAAAACATCCGATCTCAATCTCGTCTCTCAGCCACTCCGGGGTGCTCGCAGCAGATATCGCAGTACCCGTTGACGGGACAATACAAGTAACTCCCGCTCCGATTTTCATTCTATTCCTTCCACAATGCAAACTTCCGTCATACAGCTACACGTCTAAACATACACCTGTTGTTCCCTCTGGGACCCGTTTCCCTTGTTCAGATTGAACTGGTTCCGTCAAAGCCGCTTTGAGGACACATACGGGTCTGTCGCCAATTGGTAAATAGCAAAAGCCTCTTACCGTCTACAGAACGTCAGCCCGGTCCTAAGATCTAGCATATCTAGACGAGGCGGGAGCTCTTTTTTCCACCGGTCCATTCCGCTTCATTATACTAAATTCCTGAAAACTTGTCGCTGACAGCCTTTTTAGTTTGTACTTCTCTTCTTGCCATTCACAACTAGGGTTGATTGGTTAATCCTGTCATCGAGAAGTGAGGAAAAGTCAGCTCATACAAGGCATTCTATACCATCGTTCCTTATAACGTTTCACGCAAAGGGGAGAGGGGACTGAGAAAGAATTTAAGATCATTGCGAAGTTGTGTGTGAAGAGAGAAAAAGTCTTCTTAGACAGACATCTTTCGAATTCTGCCGTGTGACATATCATATATCTCGATTTAACGACACATACTGCCGTCATTCCACATACTCCATCCATCTCTCTTCTATTTCATCTGCTCTTTCTAAGAATAGCAAGCACCCAAAAAGAGGGTATCTATTTTAGTGATGCAGTTTACGGAGAAGCAGGCAGCTGAGGTTAAGGGGTGGGTTGTTAAAAGGTTGGAGGATATGTATGTTCCTGTCCTTTTTTTTGTTTGCTTGCCAGTTTTCCTTCATCCTCTCTAGTTTAAAAATCGACCCTTGCTAACTGAAGTGCGCCACTTGAGACAGATCCGATGCAGATTCAGACGTGTTGGCGGATTATGTATTGGCTCTGATCCGCTCTGATGCCCCCGATGAGGATATCCGGAAGGCCTCCGTGGAGAATCTAGAGGACTTTTTGAAAGAGAGTTAGTGTTGGCCCCATTTTGTTTATTTTACCAGTTTTCGCACCTGCGTATGGGTAAAACTTTTAGGAGTTATTTTAACCTGGAATTTTCCGACATTCAGATACCACCAGCTTCGTCGATGAAATCTTCGCGAAATACAACCCAAAAACGTATCAGCCAGTTCTTCCAACTCCTGACCAACCAACCTCGCACACCCCAACGCCAGTCGCACAACAACTATTACCACAATCCATTCCATTCCAACAACAAACAAATGCCCCGGAAAAGTGGATGCCATCCGGTCACGGCCAGTCCATGAACCAAAGTCCGCCAAATAGAAGCTGTAGTTTTGAAGCCGGCGGCGCAACATCGAACTTCAGCCGAAAACGCGCTTTCAATGAAGGACCTCAGGCAGGCGAAGAGCAGGATTCCCATTACAACCGCGCTGATCGACCGTTTAAATCCTTGAGGGGTCGCCGGGGTGGGAGAGGGGACAATAGAATGGTTGCAACCGGCAGCAATATTAACCCTAACACTCATAATAATAATCATGCACGACTTCTCGGGATTGGGGGTTATTTGAATCCCAACCAGCAACAACAGCAACAGCATGGCGGGTTTCAGCGAATGCCTCCCGTTCGCGGCCCACCTCATCCTTCTCCGACCAGCTTCCCTCCTTTCAACCCTAACGATCCTATCGCGACTATGATAGCCTTGCAGGCGATGGGATTCCCTCAGATACCTGGGATGCCACCGCTTCCTCAAATAGCCACCCCAACCGGGGCACCTGGTCCTGGTCCAAACAGGGCACCACGAGTCGCTGGCTCGCCGCCAGCTAGCATCCCACGCAGGTGTAGAGATTATGACACACAGGGTTTCTGTGTTTTAGGAAGCACGTGTCCGTTTCAGCATGGGACAGATCATTTAGTAGCGCCTGCAAGGGATGATGAATATGACCCTACAAAGTCAAATATTGTTCTGGATAGACCGCTCAGTTCAAACGCCACGAATGGCCACGGCTCCTCAGGGCTTTCACGTGGAAGTGAGCGGGGACGAGGCCGCGGACGTGGAAGGGGTGATAGAGGGGGGTTTAACAATAGTCCCCGACGGAACCGGGCAGACTTTTCGCAGGCTGGGCCCAATGAGGATAGGTCAATTACTACGATCGTTGTCGAGCAGATACCGGAGGATAAATTTGACGAGAAGATTGTACGCGATTTCTTTTCTGAGTTTGGCAACATTGTCGAGGTCACGATGCAGCCGTACAGACATCTGGCCCTGGTGAAGTATGACACGTGGGCCGCAGCACGGCGCGCCTGGGCCAGTCCGAAGGTTATATTCGACAACCGCTTTGTCAAGGTTTATTGGTACAAGCAACCGACTGCCCATAAAGCTGAGACCAATGGCACTGGAACTTCTCATCATCCATTTTCGCAGTCACCGGCAGGAAACAGGCCAGATATGAAGCCCTTTGACCAAGAGGAGTTCGAAAGGCAGCAAGCTGAAGCGCAAAGGCAGCACGAGGAAAAGATGCGGAAACGGAAGGAGACAGAAGAAGCCCGGCTAGCTCTGGAGAAGCAGAAGGAAGATCTATTAAAGAGGCAACAGGAAGAGAAGGCAAACCTGCTACATCGTCTTGGCGCGCAGCAGCACCAGCATGATGCCACCGCCACCACCAATGGCCGGAATGGCACGGCGCATCGTTCTGGTGACTCAGAGATGGGGCAAACGACCTCACCATCCCCTGCTGATGGAAATGTTAGCGAACAGACGAAGTTGTTGCGCGAGCAGCTTGCTGCACTTGAGGCAGAGGCTAAAAGTCTAGGACTTGATCCTTCCTCGCCGGATTCGCGATACCCATCCCGCGGCCGTGGGAGAGGGTGGCGTGGTGGAAGTTATCGCGGCGGTCGGGGTGCCTATGACGCTGCTTTTGCCAGTTTCCGTGGAGGATATCGGGGGATGGCTGCTGGGCCGCCACGAGGTCGGGGTGGGGTGTTGAGGCTTGATAATCGCCCGAAACGCGTTGCTGTGTCTGGTGTTGAGTTTAGTCCAGAGAGAGATGAGGCGTTGAGGCAGTTTCTTTTGGTATGTATTTCACTCTCCCTCCTTCCTTTGTCTTTTAGGTGGCTTGTTCGAATCCCGGGCTTCCGAGTTTCAAAGACAAAAGTAGTCGTGTATATGAAAGTTTCATTCAGAGGAAAAATTACTAATACCACTATCCTCAACACAGGGAGTTGGTGAATACGAAAGCATCGAGCCAAACCCAGACCAACCAGACTCGCAAATCATTTCTTTCAAAGACCGGTACGTCGCGGAGAAGCTGATGTACGGTCCCAGCGAAATACCGTCAATAGGCAAAGTAGAGTTCACCTGGGTCGCCAACAACTCCACTTCGTCAAGGAGCACACGAGCCGGCTCTGTCTCTGCCTCTGCATCCTCCTCTGCACAGCAACACCAGCAACAGCAACATCAGCAACAAGCGGAGAAAGGAGGAGATGATGATGCAGTCATGGGAAATGGGGGGCATCACAATGAAACTGATTCGATGCTGCGAAAGGACGCTGGCGGCGCTCATGAGGTTGATTATGATGTTGCGGAGATGGATGATGCTTGGGAGGTTGAGTGAGTTGAGTCTCCAAATGAAACACTGTTGGGTTTTCGTTCACCATTTTTTATTTTTGTTTTTATTTATTTATTATTGATTTCTCAATATATGAGGGATCCCTTCCCCGTTTTTTTTTTCAAGAAGTATCTATTCTACGTGAGGTCTTTGTTTTTGATGCACATGCCATTGATCTTTTTCAATGTATTTTTATCCATGGCTTCTGAGGGAGGAAAATATGTGAGGGATTATAATAGTTCGTTTTGTTTTCTATCTGTGTGCGATTTTAGTAATTAATATATGTCTCTATTTTCCCTCCCTCATTCGGGACGCTATGGTCATGTAAGTTAGTTTGATCTGATGCTGATGCGATTGCTCATTGCTCATTGCAATTGGTTGGGATTTCCGTGAATTGATAACTACACAATTTCAACATTCCACAATTTTTCTCTGTTCTCTCAGTCCTTGTCATTGATGTTTGGTATGCGGTAGCGTAACGCCGTGCTGGAAATTGCTAACTCATTCAGGACCAGCGGTGAACCGTTGAGTAATATATCTATCGAATATATCTCGCCTGAACTAACCGTGTAAAATCATTCAGCCGATGAAGTGTCATCTCTGGTTTCATTTCGTCATATACAGACACATTCCATACCACCCATTCCTATGAAAATCACCTTGGCCCTCTGCCCTCTCCCGCTAGTCCCACTTATGAGTTTCGTGCACCTGCGTAAGCACTTAACTACCTCGTTAACTACCCTGGGCGCCGAGCTCTCGGCCCCAAGTAATGGCGGGGGAAGGGCGGGGAGGCTTCCTCACCTCCAAATACGATTCATTTGTCTTGTATATATCATCCTGTATTTTATGCTCTTTAGAAACCGATAGATGAATAGGTGCCATTGTCCCATCCTCTAGGGACATTTGGAGAACTGCCTCATTTCCTTTTACAGACGGCGCCTATCAAAACCTGTATGCCAAAAATACTGGCCTCACAAACAAACAAAAAGATTCAAACATGACTGGACGTCTCGAGGACAAAGTTGCCGTTATCACGGGGAGTTCAAGTGGCATCGGGAGGAGCATTGCACTAATGTATGCTGCGGAGGGAGCATATGTTGTATGTTCGGATATTGACCCTGTGCCCAAAGGTATGTAATTTGACAGGACTTTCTACGTTGAAGAATATGATCTTTGTTTGATTTTATATTTAATTTCCTCCGTATTTTAAATTGAACGAACTGTATTACTGGGAGTGTCTGCCGTCCTTGCTCAACTGTCTATGTCCTCAACTTGGGTAAACCACTATGATGTTAAGGATTGATCAGTGGGCATGTAGAAAATTAACCAACTCCACTCAGTTGGCTATCATGTCCTTTATATATAGTTCCCTTTTCCAAACATCTCTTTGAAACCACTAAAAGTTGCAATGCTTAAGCATTGGGGCGCTGGTCATACCCCCCACTTACATTTGATATAGGCGACGCTGGCAAACCAACCCACGAGGCAATCAATGAGACACATCATGTCGCTGCTGGCGGAAAATCAGAAACCCGGGCCATATTCGTCAGGGCAGATGCTTCCGTTTCTGACGACTTGGAGAATCTAGTTAAGGAGTGTGCGAAAGCGTTTGGGAGATTGGATATGTATGGCTCCCCACATTCCCACAACCCTAGAGAATATCATCTAACAAAGTGAACGAATTCGTATAATCATAGAATGGTCAACAACGCCGGAATAAGTCCCATAGGCCTCCAACCTCCTGGTGCCCGTATCCACGAAACCCCAGAGGCATCTTGGGATAAGATTATGGGTCTTAATGGGAAGGGAGTCTGGCTTGGTTGCAGTAAGTTAAATATACATCGACAAAATTATCTTTCATCGTACATACGTATGCAAATCTAAACATCCCATGAAAAAAGAGTTTGCTGCAGTGCAAATGCTCTCCCAAGACCCGCACTCAAGCGGTGATAGAGGCTGGATTATCAACATGACATCTGTCCTCGGAACGGTCGGTTCACCAGGCTCAAGCACATATACGGCATCTAAACATGCCGTAATTGGTATCACGAAGAGTATAGCGCTGGAGTATGGAAAGGATAGGATGTGGGTCTTTTTCATTATTTCCGTTCTCTTGGTTTTCAACAATCACATCATCACTCCCCTCTCTCTACCCCTAACCAAAGAATCCCTCCTTTACAACATATTTCTATATAGTCACGTAAACGCCATCGCCCCCGGCTTTGTCGAGACTCCTCTACTCGCGCCCTTCGCAAATGAGAACAGTGAGGACCCGCATCTGAAAGCAGTCCACTCCATGCTAGTTTCTCTGCATCCATTCGATTCGAGGCTGGGTAAAGCGGAAGAAATCGCGGGTGCAGCAGTGTTTTTGGCTTCCAAGGATGCTGCATGGGTGACCGGAGCTACGTTGCAGGTGGATGGAGGATATGTGGCGCATTGAGCGGAGCTAGTAGTCCAGAATTGGGGTGAGGTTTTGTGTGTGGATTTTTTATTTTTTATTTTTTGATTTATATAATGAGGTAGGGTGAGAGCGTGGCAATTCTGATGGAGCAGGATGATGCTAGAGTGTGTGTCAGTTCAAATGATGCAACTAGATAAAGAAATGAATGATCTTAGTAAAATTTTTTGACATAAAGGGAACCCCACATCATCTGAAATGAAAAGGCAATGCTGTATTGAAATAGGTTCATGAAAATTGAAAATGACAAACATAGAACTTTACCCGCAACATTTATTACAAAAATATTATGAGAAATCTGTCACACATAAAATATGTGTGTTGAAGACACTAAAAACCTGTTCAGAAGAGAAGAGAATGAGAGAAAGTAAATTAAGTCATCAATAAACAATATACAGTGCAATAATGCATGCATGCGTAACAATACAATTGAAATAACCAAGAGAAATTCCATTCATTCAGTTCCGTCATATCGCATGATGTCGAGTCATCATGGTCGCCGGAAACCAATGTATGACATATACAGAGGCCCGGTGTGGGTTACAAAAACTGAAGAGAAAGCAAGTTTTAGAAGAGAAAAGCACTCGAGCTGAACAGCTCTATAAGTCCTCCATCAATAACCCAAGCGAATGTATCCGGGAAAGAGACCCGGCGACTTTTGGCGGCATGTCATCAAAGGAACTCCCAAGGGAGGCCACGATGACTAAAGAGCAAACCTAGTGAAATTAGAATGTATGCCCGGTCCGTTGCTGAGACATGTTCAACAGAAACATTAAGTGCAGTTCGATACCCAAATAGTTAAGGCGCAGGTTGGCGCAGGTTGTCCGCCTTCCTCCTTTACACTCCACCACATTTGAACATGAAATCGCGTTGAAGTAATGCATGCAAAGAGCATAAAAACGCCGACAAAAAAACATACACACTTCTTCAACGGGCCATTGCCAGGAATGAAATATGCAATACGAACCTAGCCGCTCCTGTTTGGCCGCATTGCCTTTCCTCTATCATTTTGGCTCATGAAACGCGTAAGCCAAGAACCTTCCGATTCACTGTCACTATCTCCTAGTTCATCCAGCATACGATCAATCGCGTCACCAGCTTCATGTTCTTGTAGACCATTACTTCCATCTCTGAGATACGCATCATTCGACCAATTGCTTATATCATCAGCAAAACTAACCTTCCGGGGAGGTCGAGTGGAATTGCAGGTGTTATCAAGATGTATTCCCAGACCCAAACGGCCTCCAACGGACGATGTCTGTTGAGGTGAGGGCCTGGGTAGGGGAGGGGGAGGAAGGGTAAGATGTGTGTTGCTATAATCACTCTGTTGTGTGTTCTGAGAGCTTGGATGATATCCTGAGTTTTCGGGGCTTGACATGAAAAGTAACGTTTCAATGGCGTCCTTTTCCATCAGGGCATTTTGGGATGGCGTTCTAAGCTTTGGAACTGGCATTGTGGTAGTGGTGGTATCTGGAGTCGCAGACTGGAGAGACAATTGAGGTTGGGATTGGGGAGGACTGTCGAGGATGGCTACAGTTGAATTGGTTGTTTGGGTGGATGAGGCAGAATGTCCCCTAACAGTGAATGTCATTTTTTGATAATTGTTTTGGTTTGGACGGCCATTTTGTATAAGAGAGTCATTGGGGTTTGGACGCCGCCGAGTCGCACTACCGTTTCCGGATATAATATCCGCAGGCGGTGCAAGTTTTGGTGGGTTTGCATTTGTAAAAGCAGCTGCTGGGGTAAGAGGTGGTATCCTAGGGTTTCCATTCGATGAGGAGACTTGGTTATGATTTGGGGTTAAGCTCATTGGGGTTGTAGATACTAAATCATCAGCAGAATCGGGATTTCGAAGCTTTGAAAACCCGTCAGTCGCTGATGTGCTACTGATACTGTGTCGAGCGCGTGAATGTTTAGGTCTCATAGGACAACTGGAGGAACCTTTGAATCCCAAAGGCAAAGGAGATTGCGAGGTAGATGAGTAACCTAGCCCTGGTAAAACCGTGTGTTCTTCCTCCAGGGTACGGATTGGCCACTCTTTCTCCACTTTCGCAGCTGCATAGGATAAACGTGCACGAAGCTGGGCAGACAACTAGAGAATATCACGAGTTAGCATAAAACGTGTACATGTTGACTAATATGTTCTACAGATCAAGCAACTACCTCCGTAATCCTGCTTCCAGTTGAATCAATGCTCATTGTTCTAGAACGGCGAGTTGCAGTAACTGGCTTTAGGCTTTGGAAAGGCGCCGGAAAAACAGTCGACTTCATCTCCCCGTTAGCCGTCCTTTTTTGCCCTTGTGGAATCTCAGTTGGCATATTCACCCTCGATGAACTTTCATTCAGGGCGTTTGCAACCGTTGTTTTGGACAGGTTGGTTGAGGGCAACGATCCGAGATCAACACTTCGGGAATGCGCATGAGCATATGGTGATTTCGCTAAGGAGTGGGATAATGGGAAAGGCGGATAGTCGTGGTTTGAAAGTCCAGATAATGGAGTCGATGAGGTGATATTTGGGCCCATTGCACCGGTCAAGGAGGATTGTGTGAGGGTGCTGGAGGGTGTTTGAAGGAGAGGTAAAGCGCCGTTGCTCACCACGGAAAGCGGCGAATTTGGTTTGCTGTTATTCATTGCATGGAAACCAGAAGTGTAATCTGGATTGGTCAAGTATTGTCGCGGATAGTTGAGAAAGTTGATTTTAATTACTGGGACTGCTGTTAGGGGTGCTGCTAGGGGTGCTGCTAGGGGGAGATTCGTGTACAGGATCAGAAGAAGCCGGAGACTGCGCAGATTGTTGCCTTGGGCACATTCCTTCCAAACACCAGGTGGGCCGAATATTTATTATCTTGACGTCAGCGCGCGCGGAGGGAGGGGGGATGAGACAGCACAAAAGAGATGGAAGAAAATGCAGCGCACGCGGATAGGCGGGGAAGATGATTGATTGTTGTAAGCCGGTAACCTGTGTCTAGTTGGAGGGTGGAGCTGTCTGGCGAGAATATTTCAAAAAAGAACGGCTTGCTGCTGAGAAAGACAACCTGACACCAACCAGGTTATGTGAGCCCTTCACTCCCTCTCTGAAAAATGTTGCTGTGGCTATCCGCATCAAGTCAAGTTGAGGAACCCTCTGTTGGAGAGATGAAAAGCTAATGGGGTGGTAAGAGTAGCGACCCCCTAGTAGTAGCCTGTGTGGTGGTATCGTTGGTGTTGTGCGCCATGATGATTCTAGCAACGATATCGCCCCAAAAAATGCGTCAACTTTATCCAAGAACCTGTCACTCTGCGTTGAAATGTGTTTTTCACACCAATGTCACTATCGCTGTCGTAGGAATTCGAGGGATGTGGTCAAGAGTTTCCTGATCGAGACGCGACGCGGCGCGGTCATGTGCGCTAATTTCACGTGATATAGGCGCGGCCACGTGGGTTAAAATTCATGGATCTATTATCAGGTTCCAAGATGACATAACTTCCAGTAGATATTGATGATGTAAGGAGTGGAAATGGACATTGCAAATAAATTGACGAGAAAATATAGATTGGGCCATAGAGTATATGCGTATATCTAAACCGATTCAAGGAAGTAAACTACTATACAATGCTGTTATCCCAACCTAACAATTCCGCCTCCAAAAACACTGAACTAACCCTGCTGAAACACCACGTAAAAAACGCCTCAAAAACGCCTCAAAAACATTATTTTTGGTGGTGTAGCTGGCAGCAGGGTCTTTATTCAAGGTAATTGACAGGAACAAAACAATCATCTTCTTTTCTTCCCACCTCGACCACCTTCCTGGCCATCATTCTTCCGCTTCTTCCCTTCCCGCTGCCAATATTCGTCCCGCTCCCGCTTCTCCCGTTCCTGCTTCTTCTCAGCATTCTCCGCTACCTTGGCGCGATAAACCTTCCTCCGCTTCTCCTGCGCAGCTTGGCGCTTCGCCACCTTCTCATTCCTCATGGTAGTAAGCTTCTGCAATAGATCCCGCGCTTTCTTTTCTTCGCCTCCCAAAACCACAGCCCGCTTTTGGAGATAAGACTGGCTTTGACGGGGTCTCATCTTTGTAATTTGCGACTTGAATGGAAGCTCCGCAGTCAATTGGCGAGGGACACGAAGAGGATTAAAGTGTCGTGCTGGACGTTCAATGGGTTTGTATGCAGAATCCTTTTCAAGGGGAGTGGGAATGTTTTGATCACGACGAACTTCTCCCGTTAAACGCATGCCTTTCCAGCCATGCTCATTCTCTTCATCCAAGAGGTTGGTGACTGGGTTGTAGTATCGGTGTGGCTTGATAGGGTACCAAGCACGGAGAAACACAATGTCACTCATGAGGATTTTGTCCTCAAATGTAGCACGGAAGTGTCCCTCTGGACGACTCAAAGCCCGTTTAATTTGACCCCGAATTCCAGAAACAGTTCGAATGCTCGCGCCTTCGAACTTCGCAATTTCGATAGCAGAAGTAAACATGTCCTTTATAAAAGCAGTGTTTCGGAAGATCTTGTATGGATATCCCGTTAGTTTGAGTTTCTTAACAATTTCCGTGGTTTCATCTACGTTCAACACGACACCAGTAGCTGCTATTCGGAACCCTGGGTTTTTATTGGAGAAAGATTGAACACAGCAAAAGCCGGTATTGGGAGCCACAAGGGGACCGTAAAAAGTGCCAAAACAATGCATATGTTCAGGAGTATATTTTAACATGCGATTGCGTGTTCGGGAATCGGAGATGCTGTAAACGGGTGTGGTTTGGAATCGACGCCAGCCAAGTGAGAATATGAGAGGATCGTTGGTTTTCAGAATTTTCTTGTGCCATCTATGTCTTTTGATCCTGACCTGAACAAATCCAAATCGATCTTCAGTCGGTGCAAGGCCTCCAACAATGACAGGGAAACGAGGGTTAAATCGCGTTGAGAACTCGCAAGGAACATTTTCAAGAACAATTCTGGCATACGTCCCAGCTTTGTATCCTTCAGCTCTGGCTCTGGAGAGTGCGTCGAGAAAATCAAATTCTGCTCGGTTGATGTCAAGTTGCTTTTGGAGTTTTGCCTTTTGTGCTTCGTACCAATCATCCTCTCCAAATCGCCCTTCGTCTTGTCTGTCTCCGCCATCTTTTGCATTCGCGAAACCTTCGCGATCCTCTTCCTCGAAACGAAGTTTAAGCTCTTCCTTTTTCTTCGCATTTCTTGCTCTCTCCGCTTCAAGACCTTCGGGTTCGCTTTTCTCGTTCGTTTCTTCGTTGCTGACAACAACCTCCCCAGTTTCGAGATCCTCAAACACACCGTCTCCCTCATCCTCAGAATCATCAAAATCAAACTCCCTACCTTCATCATCGTCTTCGTTCCCGCTACCATCCGATCCGTTGCCCTTCAAAATTTTGGCACGGATAAATCGATGCCGTATGGTCTGGATATTATCGTCATCTTCCCATTTTTTCTCAAGCTGCTCATAATCAAAAACTGGAATGGTCCTGTCGTCTGATTCCTCTGTTTCTACTTCAACTTTCTTGAAGAAGTCATCCTCGTCGTTATTATCATCTTCTTGAGGTACACCATCATTCTTCCCGGTCCATCTTTTGACAACATCTCGTGGGCTTATTGATTCGTCATAGAGGATCTTTGTGAGGTCAGCAATACGGTAGGGAATTTTCTTTCCAAAGTTGGCCTTGGCATGCTCAGCCAAGTTTTCCTTCCAACGTAAAGCTCCGTCATCAACCTCATCTGAATCGTCTTCGAAATCACCTTCACTTTCTATCTCCTGGTCTTCAACTGACGATATCGAACCAAGATCAGAATCGCTATCTGCAAAAGCGATATCATCTTCGTAATGTTCAACAGCGCCGTTGTGTCTTTCCCTGAAATTTGCCTCAAAATCGTCAGGCGGCATAACGTCGTCGTCATTTTCATCTTCCTCTTCCTCTTCCACTTCTTCACTTCCTTCCACGCTATCTTCTGATTCAAAACCCTCATCTTCCTCTCCTATAACATCTGTCCCATTTTCCTGTTCTTCAGTGAATCGAGCCTTTCGCTTTTGCTTACGCCCGACTTCCTCCTTCTCTTCGTCTTTTAAACCAGCAACTGTATCTCCACCCCTGAACAGTCGGACACCTGACTCGGCCTGTCCAAGTAATTTTCGTTCGCCTTGTAACCCAACAACGAGTTGCTCCCCCAGACCCCTCTTTTCATCGTTTTCAGCATCCCTATTAAACGTAGATGTCTTAACATCGATATAAACTGCATCCTTATCGACGAGGACACCACCAACATCAGACATAGGCGCAAACAGAAGCTTCTGCTTTTCACCTAGCCTCCTTCTACCGGGTTTCCCAGTTGCTTTCGCCATTGCTTTGTCCATGAAGGGCGTTGGACATGGATCAGGGAGCGCTTCTATCGATGAGACACTGAGATCACCCACACCGGGCACATGCACCCTTGCGCCAACAGCAGGGAAATTGGTACCTCGAAGGTAGCCATAGAGCGCAACTGTTCTATCACACTTGGGATTTTCCTCGACTGCTGTTGGGGCGGTGATGTCCAAAAACCGATCAACCAGACAATAAGGGTGTGAGTTTCTCCATATGAGCGGTCGAGGGTTCTTCATTACAGACAAAAACCGGGACAGATTGTGTATTTCCCGATCAGGGTACCGTCCATTGATAACGCCTGAGAGGTAAAACAGCTTCGCACCCTGATATAATTCACTCCAGAATCGATGCTTTAAGAGCTTCTTAGCTTGTCGAAGAGTACTCTGTTTCTTAAATAGATCGAGATGAGTTAGGATTCCAAAGACGTTTCCGGGCATACCACTTGCGGACAAGGAGTTGAGAAATTCCATAGTCTCCATTTCAAATCCATAATTACCATCAATCATGAGAAGGACGATATCCGCAATCTTGGCAACATCAATCATACTTGCTAGCGAGTCGGACGGGCATTCAAGGAATGTCAATCGCCTTCTTTTCGATGTGACAACAGTGAGGGGCCCAGCTGGAGAGCTTAGTGTTTGCTTCGTATAGCGCTTGATGAGGGATTTAACCAGTGTAGTTTTTCCAACCTGCATACGAAAATAGACATTAGCATCATCCTAGCATCGTCGTAGCAAAAGCGCAAGCGCATTCAGAAACTGCATATACGTACCCCTGGTGGGCCAACCACCGCAACAACGATGGGTGGCGCCTCTTCGGGCAGGCGATCCACGAGCGGGACATGGAGTCTCTTTTCCTTAATCTATATATTTCACCAGACTATGGTTAGCCCGAAATACTTCTAGGTAGGATACGAGTGCGACGAACATCATGAGATCTAGCAGCCTGTTTTTGTAGACGGCCGGCATGAGCGACAGCAAAGGCTTTGGGATTGGCCCCTACCCAAAAAAGATATTAGATATCTATCCTCTTCCGTATAGGTAAAGGTACAGCTTCCGTGAAAAAGATTGGTCGAGGCAACGTACCAGACTGATCCTTATTTTTCTTCTTCTTCTCCTTCGACTTCCGATGCGGCCGGTTGACCTGGTCCTCCATCTTAAAAGTCGCACACTTTTGCTCTTGAAGAAATTGAGCAATGAGAGCAAAGCCGTTCGAATCTCTCGCTTTAACGTCTTATCCAGTTCCAAAAATTTTGGATTCTCCAAACGTTGGAAGGTTTATCCGAGCCGATAAGCGCAGTAGCGCCCTTTCAACCTTTCAAATCGTATAAGCGATAGCCCTGTGATTGGTTCATATACATTGTCGCCACTGTTCGAGGAATTGAAGGATCTTTGGGTTGAATTCTACACAAGACTGATTTTGAGCCTAGATCTTTTGGATTTGCATCATCCATTACCCCCTACTATTAATCCAGTGTGAGCAAACCCAGCTACCTTGTCATGCTGTCCCAAGGAAAGTAAAATTCACAAGCAAGCATGTTGGCGCAGCGGAAGCGCTCCGCGCCTGCATCGAAACTAAGACTTGCTAAAAACATGATCTTTAATTTTCCTTATTTTTAATTAGTTAATTAGTTAATTAACTAATTAATTTTTGGGAACTAGATGATGCAGCAATGCTACTTGGGTGGATCTATCTTTTTCTTTCTTTTCTTTTCTTTTTTTTCTTTTTTTGACAGTATAACTTTTCCCTAGACCTGAGCACACTGCTGACTTGAGCAGGTTAATTCAACTTATCTCTTTGAGTTTAAGATCTTTTGGTATTAGATATAGCTCTTCGTAGCAGAGGATGGGTATCTATAGAGCTGAAGGCGAAACAAAAATTAGGGGAAAGAAGAGAGGTCAGAAATATGAAAAGGTGTAAATTAAAACTGTTCCAAATAAAGACCGCTATCTATGTTGTATATTACCCATCATCCATACGCGCCAATGACTACTACAGGCGTATAACACCAGCCCAACAGGAAGCAACCAGATAAATCCATCCGTTCATCCAGCCAGCAAGCCTAAAGGGGGTACGGTACTCTCAAGTGGCGGAAAAGCAAGAAAAACGAAACCCATAACCCGAAAGCCAATCCCACCATTCATTGTTTCCGCTGCTAACAATCAGCGTCTAAGAGTTGAATAAACCATTCAAAAGAAACAGAGACATCACAAAACAAAACAAACACAGAACAGACCACCTTACCTATCCATATCCAATGCAACGGCTGTAATTAGTTACGTTAGGACCGGGGCAAGTGATGTGATGCAGATAGATGTGGCGTGGTACACGGAAATGCATATGCACAGAAAGATATAAAACCTTCCCTGGATCATAAATGCTCCGTAAATCCGAGAGCAAAACTATCGGACGACGAGTAGATAGGCTTGGTGAGTGGGATTTTCCGGCACAAGAGTCCAGAAAAGGGGAGAATAAAGATATATGGGGGCACATGTCATAGGGACGATGGCGGTTATAAAAAAGTCAGGGAAGCTTGTTATTGTTGTTGTCCCAAGTAGTTCGTGCTTTGCTGAGAGGTTGGTGAATTAGAGACTTTCATTGAGGTTGGAGTTATTGTTGCAAGTCTATGTTCCCGGAGTATGGCGAGGAGAGATTCAGGGTGGTAAGGGGTGGATGAGGGTTCAAATTACTACTCGGGGCGGTTGTAGTAATGGGCCATTTCAAGACCAGCACGTTTGAAACCGCATTTTAAGTAGAACCCCTCATTCGCTTCTGAACAGTCGAGAATGCTCTGTATGATGAGTTAGCAAAACGAGAAAATGTAAACCCAAACACATTCTCACTCCCAATGTATCCCACACGCCGCCCCTGAACCCAAAGAAACAAAGACATAAAAATATTAAAAGAATCATATACCTTATAACACCCAACCTTCTGCGCCACAGAGTCCAACGCCTGAATAATGCGCAATCCCAATTTCTTCCCCTGCTGCCCACTCTCCACCGCAATATCCTCCACATGCCCCACCAAACCAAGCGAGTGAATAAACTTGCGCTCAACAATCAGGCTCCCTGTCCCAACCACCGTCCCATGCCCATCGCAGACAACAAGCAGAAAGTACTCTTCATTCCGCTTCGCCATCCAGTCATAGCGCTCATTCCATTGGTCCATGGTGAAGTCGCCGACACTGGTGAGCTCGCGGAGCACGTCCAGGTAGCCGGAGGTGTAGTCTGAGCGTCTTAAGGGCCGGATTGTGTAGTTTTCTGGAAGCTGTGCCTGGACAGAGGGGGAGATGTAGGTTGGGCAGAAGAGGGGGGTGTCATCTTCTATGGAGTTGGAGGAGGCTGGGTTAAGAAGGAGAGAGTGGGAGGGGGGCGGAGAGAGATTGTGCTTGTCTATCCCGTTTGTTGTTGTGGAGGCAGTTTCGGTGGTCATTGTGAAGGATTGTGATGACAGATAGGAGAGGAAGGAAGATATACATATATATATCGCAATTAGGTGTGATCTTCCTTTCTGTACTCCGTTGGCATGTATATGTGGGATATATCGGAGGAGAACCTGTTGAGACGAGTGTCCTTGAAGGACACGACAATTGGAGTTAACAGATGTGACGAAAGGCGACAGAGTGCAATCAAGGGCGATTAAGAGGGGGTTGTCAATGGGTGAATGCGATTCGCTCAAGCTAGTGTAAGTTATAAAAAACAAAAAAGGTGTGAAAAAGAACAGGTCGTCAGTGGTTGTATTTATGGGATTGAGGCGGAGGCTTGCAAAATGATAGGGGATGTTTCAGGTGCTGAGTTTGATGGATTAGACAGAAAGTTTCAGGAACGGCCTGCTTATTAATATAACACATGATTAGTTACAGCCTTAGCCGGACTGGTAACCTTTGCTCCAATGATGTATATAATTGACCTATATTCCTACACATCCTACTACTAGAACGACTCCTTTCATCTATGCGCCCAAGAAAATGGGAGAAGAGAGCCGAAGAATGGAAAAATGTGAAATTTTTACAATGAGAAAAAGCAAATCCCTTGAAAGCACACCTAGGAAGAGCCGGCATGGCATGCAGGAGATGCATGTGCATAGTAGAATAAACACCTATTTCTTTTCCTTGGGGCTAATCATCAGCTCCGGACGGACATGGGCGTCAAATTGCTCCTCGGTAAGAGCCTTTAGTTCCATCGCGCTCTGCTTCAGGGTCAATCCCTTCTTATGCGCATTCTTAGCAACCTTAGAAGCCATGTCGTATCCAATCACCGGGTTCAAACAGGTTACAAGCATCAAGCTGCATGAGACGTATTTCGTTGTCAGTTATCACCTTTCAAATATGGTCAATGGGGTATCACTGGCTCTCCAAGGATTTTTTTTTTTAAAAATATATATATATATATATATATATAAAATAAGAGAAACATTACCTTTCATGCAACAAAGCAGAGATTCTCTTCTCATCAGCCTGAATCCCAACAACCAAATTTTTCTCAAATGATCGCATGCCATCGCTCAAGATGCGGATGCTATGCAAGAGATTACGAATCATAAGCGGCTTATAGACATTCAACTCAAACTGCCCATTCATCCCCCCCACCGTAGCCGCAACATGATTCCCCATCACCTGTGCGCAAATCATCGTCAACGCCTCACACTGCGTCGGGTTAACTTTACCAGGCATGATGGAAGAACCAGGCTCATTTTCGGGCAGGATGAGTTCACCCAGACCACAGCGGGGTCCTGAGCCAAGATAGCGGATGTCCTGCGCGATCTTGAAGAGGGAGCAGGCGAGTGTGTTGAGGGATCCTGACGCCTCGACGACAGCATCGTGCGCGGCGAGAACCTCAAACTTGTTCGGGGCTGTCTTGAATTCGGTACCGGTCATCTTGCTGATTTCTTCTGCGACTGCAACGTCGAAGCCCTTGAAGGTGTTAAGGCCTGTGCCAACGGCTGTACCGCCCTGCGCGAGATAGCGGAGGTGCGGGAGTGTGTTTTGGACGCGCTCAATGCCACGGTCCAGCTGCGCGACGTAGCCAGAGAATTCCTGGCCTAGGGTGAGAGGGGTGGCATCCTGCAAGTGTGTTCGGCCGATTTTGATGATTTTCTGGAACTGCTCGACCTTTGCTTGAAGAGCATTGCGGAGGCTGGTGAGGGATGGGAGCAGCGATTCCTCAAGTTCCAGCACGGCTGCAATGTGCATGACGGTGGGGAAGGAGTCGTTGGACGAGGCGGACATGTTGACATGGTCATTGGGGTGGACCGGTTTCTTCGTACCCATGGTACCGCCCAGGATCTCGATGGCGCGGTTCGAGATGACTTCGTTGCTGTTCATGTTGGATTGGGTTCCGGAGCCGGTTTGCCAGACAACTAGTGGGAAGTGGTTGATGAGTTTGAGCGATGCGACTTCTGCAGCGGCTTGCTGGATAGCTTTGCCTATGGTAGGATCTTAAGAACAATAAAACATCAGTTGCAAGTCTCTTGCTGTTTACACCAATAAGGTTATTTACCAAGTCCATATCTCATGTTCACAGTCGCAGCGGCGCCCTTAAGAATCCCGAACGCTCGCACAATGGGTGGCGGCATCCGGTCTTGTGGCTGGTTGATATCGAAGTTGGTCAGAGACCTGCACAATTTCCACCCAGCAGTGTCAATATAACAATCCTTTTCCGTATATGCAGAATCGACGTTTGTTTATTTGCAGCATCCCTACCGTTGTGTTTGTGCGCCCCAGTATTTATCCGCGGGGACCTATACGCAAATCGTCGTCAGGAACAAATGAATTGTCTCGAGAGAATCCACATAACAGCTACATAAACCATACCTGGATTTCGCCAAAGGCATCGGTTTCCGTTCTAAAAGCCTAAGCAAACCAATTCCAAATATCAAGTCAGAACCATTTTCACTCTCAAGCAATTATAATCATTACCAATCCTATCTCCGGTCGCGGGAAGAAGAGTCAAGAAGTAACCGCACCATCGTAGCACTGGTAGATGCAAATCCTCTCTTTGCAAAGGTGGCACCAGGATTGTTATAAACACAACGATTCAGATAGCCGCCTTGCTTTTGGGTTAGCGATAAAGAACTTATTGGTCTGCGGGCATTGAATCGATTGGCAAATGCAGCAGATCGCGACGACGATGATCTCGCAAAGGAACTACACAATAAATTCGGTTGTGAGGAGCGACATGCATAAGTTAGGGCTGACAGTGAACCCTGCAGCGGTGCCGCACACGTCGTTGAAGCGCTCGAGAGGGAGGTCAGCATGGTTTCTGGCGGCGAGGGGAAATGTCGGACAGCAGGGGGTGATGTTACCGCCTGTATCGGGCTAGTAAAATTTTGACACAAGTAACGTAAAGAGGTTAGGGGGGGGGAATGGAAAATTAAAAATATAAAACAGGAATAGGGCAATTTGAGACGGTGGAAAGGAAAGTAAAGTCAAAGCAAGCACTTCTAGGTCTATAATAATATACAGCTTTCTATTGAGGATAGTGAAGAAGAAAAAGAACATTGGACGATTTTGAAAATTTGAAGGTTGGACAAAATATAATTACGTCCCATGATTTGCTGATGAACCTCACCCGAGTCTCCCCGGTTACGCGGTGGTACTGTATTCTGTGGTTCGGGTGAGCGATATTTATGCCTATGTATGCGAACAGATATGTTTTGGTATGACGCTTGTGTATTTTTGTTCTAAGGTTCATAACTAGGCCTTATTTGGTATAGTCTCCCCCGCATGCTCTGATGCTTCCGAAGCATTCATGAATGAGGAAATAAAAGAACAACATCTGATCAGCCATCTTCAACTGCAAGATCTTTATAAATCAATATGCAGACTACCTATCTGTGAATTCACAGTTTGATGATGTGCCAGTCATTTGTCCAGTTGAACAGCTTGAGAACTAATCACCATTTCTCTCAGTGCATTTTGCCTTGTTGCAGGTTAAGAAGCCCTTTCTCACCACAATGAGATGCGAGAATGAGGTAGAACCCCTTCATGATAACTTTCACTTTGTTTTCCTATTGACTTGAGAAAATCATCTAAATCATTCTATTTGGCTATTTCTAAGCCATAGCCTTCTTGATGGATTTAACATGAAAAAGATGAGCCACAAGAAAATCCATTGCTAATAAAACACAAGATAACAGAAACTATCCAAAGAAACTGTTTAACCTGTTAACCCTCCAAAGGGACCTTTGAAGAAAGCTGAATTTTCAATCCTTGCTTACAGATTTCCAACTATATGCAGCCAAAGGGCAGCATTATCACATAACTAAACACTAAACACTAAACCAACCCACCACACATCCAATGGCCTGCTGTGGACTAAGGCCAAAAGCAAAAGCAAGCAACGTACTTCCAATCGTCCAGGTGGAAACGCACGAGCCCGATACCGTCCAGTATCCTGGTAGTCCATTGCAGTGATTAGGGGAGAGCTGCAATGCGCTTTGCCGTCACCGTAAAATACACACATGAGAAAAGCGAATACCGAAATACCCCCAGATCCCCCATGTTCCTCCTCTCTGGCGGAATCGGAATCAGGTCACGGTTGCGCCAGGTGGTATAGGCGTTTTCGTCAATTGGACTTTGTTTGCCTCCGTTTACTGCTCAGCGAGAGGTTCCTTTCATGAATGCAGGGGGAAAGAAAGATGGGAGATGGATAGTGTCCTTACACAACCACCCGTCTTTTCAATTCTTCCCAATCAAACCGCATATTGGCTTGGTGGTGCTTGATATGTTTTGGCAAAAGATAGACAGCACGCCAGTCCTTGATTATCAAAACAAACACCAGGGGAATCGAAATCTGCTATTCCGCGCATAACAGGAGACGAGACTTGCACCTCTAGGTAACTAACTTAATGGTTTATGCGAATTCTTTGAATTTTTAAGGGTGAAGGTAAACTAAACTCGATTCCCTCAAGAGATCCACGAAGCTAGCAGGCAGTATATAACTAGCTAGTTATACTTATAAACAGACATAACATACAATCCAACTCCCCGAACCTTGAAGTCAATAACTAGCAAGTGCTAAATATGATATGAAAAGAAACATGAATGATTCCATGTAACTAGTTACCATTTATTTGCCTTTCTTTCCGCCTAACTGACCTAAACTACATCTTCCCCCCCTTGTTTTTTTGGCTTCCAACCATCACACAGCTACTTAAGCCGACAGACCAAACTCGCAGAGTAACCATTTCAGAAACACTTGCTTCCATTTTGCCCCCTCCACGTACCCCGTAGAACGAAAGGATCGGGTTGGAGAAAAATGTCCTCCCCATGACGGTAATCAAATATAATATATTAGGAAGAAATGGTAAAAAAGATTCTTTTTTATCTTTGTTAACAAAAAGGAATTCGCACTAAAACTATTTGGAAAAAACTATTAGGAAATGAAAAGGGACCAGGACCATCTATCTCATTGTAAAGGAACCTTGATTAATTATCAGGGGAGGAAGCGTTGATAACTACTGGAAAACCGGGAAGAAAAACATCGATGGAAAATGACATTAAGCTCTCCCTCATACACTAAAGTCTGTATCTTTGTTTTCGTCAATGTCGAGCCTGTTCCTATCTTCTCTCTACTCTCCTTTTTTTGTAGGAAAAAAAATTAGAAACAAAAACAAAGGCCGTACGTAACAACAGAACATACGTTAAAAAAAATATATAAAAATATAAAAAAGAACCCATTGATAGACCACCACAATCACAACAAAAGGAAATCGTCGCAAGAGCAAAAAAAAAAAAAAAAGAAAAGAAAAGAAAAGACAAGAAAAAACCTCTTTTAAACCATTTTTAAAGCATGGGAAAAGGAAAAAAACCAAGGGGAGTCAAGAAAGAAAGAAACCGTTTAGTCGACCTCCTCGACGGTAGGACCGTCGTCACCGCCACTGTGAGCACCGCTAGCTCCGGCACCAGGGAAACCGCCCGGTCCACCAGCGCCAGGGAATCCGGCACCTGGTGCACCGCCCTCGCCTCCGGCGCCGTAGAATTTCATCATGATTGGGTTGGCAACACTATTTTAACTCATTAGTATATGTTTTTTGTGTCTATGCAGGAGGCAAGGATGGAAAATAGGAGATGCATACCTTTCAAGCTCCTTCTGCTGCGCCTCAAACTCCTCCTTGGTAGCAGTCTGGTTCTCATCGAGCCAAGAGACAGTCTTGTCGATTTCGGTCTTCAGCTTCTCCTTGTCGGAGGCGTCGAGCTTCTCATCGACCTTCGAGTCGCTGATGGTGTTCCGGAGGGAATAGGCGTAGCTTTCTAGACCGTTCTTGGCGGAGATGCGGGAAGCCTCAGCTTCGTCTTCAGCCTTGTACTTCTCGGCCTCGGCAAGCATGCGCTCGATCTCCTCCTTGGAGAGACGGCCCTTGTCATTTGTGATGACGATCTTGTTGGTCTTTCCAGTTCCCTTTTCGAGAGCGGAGACGTTCATGATACCGTTCGCGTCGACGTCAAAGGTGACTTCGATTTGAGGAACGCCACGGGGCGCGGGGGGGATACCGGTTAGCTCGAACTTGCCGAGGAGGTTGTTATCCTTGGTGCGGGCACGTTCACCCTCAAAGACCTGGATGAGCACGCCTGGCTGGTTGTCGGCAAAGGTGGAGAACGTCTCAGACTTCTTGGTGGGGATAGTGGTGTTTCTCTTGATGAGTGGGGTCATGACGCCACCCGCAGTCTCGATACCGACAGACAGAGGAGCGACGTCAAGGAGAAGGATTTCATTGGTAGACTTGGACGTCGTGTCGCCAGACAAGATGGCGGCCTGGACGGCGGCACCATATGCAACAGCCTCGTCGGGGTTGATGGACTTGTTTGGCTCCTTGCCGTTGAAGAAGTCGGATACAAGCTTCTGGATGCGGGGGATACGGGTGGATCCACCCACAAGGACTATCTCATGGACGCTAGATTTATCGATCTTTGCATCGCGGAGCACGCGCTCAACAGGGTCCATGGTGGAGCGGAAGAGGTCCTGGCAAAGCTCCTCGAAACGAGCACGAGTGATGGAGGTATAGAAATCAATGCCCTCGTATAGGGAGTCGATTTCGATGGATGTCTGTGCGGCAGAGGAGAGGGTGCGCTTGGCACGTTCGCAGGCAGTGCGGAGACGGCGGAGGGCACGAGCATTTGAAGATAGATCCTTCTTGTGCTTGCGCTTGAATTCATTGACAAAGTGGTTCACGAGGCGGTTATCGAAATCCTCACCACCAAGATGGGTGTCACCAGCAGTGGACTTGACTTCGAAGATGCCCTCTTCGATAGTGAGGAGGGAGACATCAAAGGTACCACCACCCAAGTCGAAGATGAGAACGTTGCGTTCACCCTCGGCCTTCTTGTCAAGACCATAGGCAATGGCGGCAGCAGTGGGTTCGTTGATAATCCGAAGGACATTCAGGCCAGCGATGAGACCAGCATCCTTGGTAGCTTGACGCTGGGAATCGTTGAAATAGGCGGGGACAGTAACGACGGCGTTGTTAACAGTGCCTCCAAGGTAGGACTCGGCAGTTTCTCTCATCTTCGTCAGGACCATGGAGGAGATTTCCTCCGGGGTGAACTGCTTCTCTTCGCCCTTGAACTCAACGGAGATGACTGGCTTTCCCGCCTTGTCAATGACCTTGAAGGGGAAGTGCTTCATGTCGGATTGGACCTCAGGATCGGCGAATTTGCGGCCAATGAGACGCTTGGCGTCAAAGACTGTGTTGGAGGGGTTCATGGCGACTTGATTTTTGGCGGCATCCCCGATCAGACGCTCGGTGTCTGTGAAGGCAACGAACGAGGGTGTGGTCCGGTTACCCTGGTCGTTGGCAATGATTTCAATTCTGTCATCCCGGAAGATACCCACGCACGAGTACGTGGTCCCGAGATCGATACCTGCATTGAGAGAGAGATAATGTCAGTAATGGAGCGATGCAGGGGGTAGTGGGGTAGCAACAGCCACGTTCAGGGCAAACAAAGGCAAGCTCAGAGGAGGATGTTGGAACTTACCGATAGCTGGAGCCATTTTGAAGTATTAAAAACGTAAGAGTCAAAGGAAAAGGGCGAATATGGAGTCTTATTTGGGAATCTTGTCGTGGGAGGTATATAGCGCAGATGAGTATGATACAATAGAGGGTGGAAGGGACGAGTGTTGTAGATGGGAGGATGAAGTATGCTTCAAATCCTGTGGTTGAAGAACGAAGAGAAGAGGAAGAAGAGAAGAGGAGAAAAGAGGAGAAAGCTACTTGAAGATAAAAGAAAACAAGACAGAGGGGGGTGGTTGTTGTGTGGGTCAAAATTGGTTATATGTGATGCAGGCGGTGGGTGGTTTTTGGCGCCAGAAGCTTCTAGCAACCCTCAGCGGGTTCGATGGCTGTCCACCGCTTTCCACCGCTATCAACACACAACAACTACAACTACAACTACAACTACAACAACACCGGATTACGACTACGAGCGACGACGACGACGACGACGATGACAATAGGCTATTCAAGGGGCATGTGTATGGGGGTAAGATCCCTCAATTCTTGCAATGGGTGATTCTATTCCTACTCCGTGCTGGAATCTCGCCATGAGAATGTTGCTGGGTTATCCAACACAACACCGCAAGTTCTCGTAGTTTCGATGCGGTTGATGGCGACGATTGGCGCGGCCGCCCAAGAGAGGATATGACGTAATCAGGGTGGGATGATGTCTCTTCCGCTTCCACCATCTCCCAACCTACCGGAAAGAAGACAAACTCTACAACCCAGAGAGTATCACTCTTCTTCTTCCCCCCGGGCTGTGGCAAAATATACCCTCCAAGGGCTCAGAAGGGTTCTAGCGAGATTAAGGCAATATTACGGTGAGGCAGGACAAGCATCTCAGGGAAACCATCCCGGGGCAATCTGAACGATCTAGATGACCGCTCCGATTAATTTTATTTTATTTTATTTTATTTTATTTATTTATTTATTTTTTTGCGTTATTTTGTAGGTTGCTGTATCTAAGATGGTTATACCTAGCAAGGGACATGAAATTTTCAACAACTTAGTACAGACACCATTTCGCTGTATATATACATGAGTGGAAATGAATACCTTGAAGACCAAATTTGTGGTTTTTATCAATCCCTGTCATCTGGAAATCAGATTAGAAGGGGTTGATATCAAATTATTTTGCGATATTGAGGTCCCTAGTGTGGTAACTATATAAGAATGGCTTTCATAGATGTTCACCACCCCGTCGCAGTCACCTATATTGTTTGAATCAGGAGAATATTTTGAGAAAATGCATTCTTGAAATACAGATTATTTTTACGGGATTTTTTTTTTTTTTTGAGTTGCGCCTCAAGCTCTTCAATTAAGGCAATTACCTGATATGTACGTATTGGAGAGAAAAAAAAAATATTGGCCATAGGTCCCAGAGAACGCGAGTCCAAGAAGCCATAGTCATTCAAGCGATGCCGATAGATATCTATAATTGGTGGCTAGCAAATAGACTGCTCAATGAAGCACTATCTATTAATCCATTCGGACATTCTTTGTCGAACGAGGTCTAAATGAAATTGCTATCACAGTCATCTTGCTCTCGACTACATACGCACAGCACGCCTCCGTAAATCGTTACGTATCGTTGATGTTGCTGGCCAACCACTAACTAACTAACTAGCAGACCTTCCCGAAGAGAGGGCTTCGAGAGTCATCTGACTTGTGCGAAACCCCCTTAGCGTGAGAGCGTCGCGACTCTTGCGCCTAACGATTCCAATGCTTGAGCTGGGTGACTTTCCCCCCTCTATGTATAATCATTAATCACTGGAGCTTCAACAAACAACAAACAACGAACGTCAAAACCATCACCCTGACCAAAGACTCTTTTACCACTCCTCCTACAAGACAGGCCATCTGCTCTACTACTTCCTTCCTCCATTGCTTCTTGAAGATCAATTTTCATACCTCATACCCCTTTCCTCTCCTAAATACCATACTATCCCGCACATAATGGGCGACAGAGCTACTGCAGTTGGTGACAGCGAAAGTGGTCGGGGCAAGGGCAAGGACAAAGCCGTCGCTGATAAGCCAGCTGACGATCTGAGCATGGGCGAGGAAGAGGAGAGCTCTTCTGATGAAAGCGTCGCTGAGGATGTGGTATGTATTTACCTTGGTGCTTGAACCCCAGAAACAAACAAACAAACCAAAAATAAAAAATAAAAAATAAAAATAATATATATATATATATATATATATATACAAACACAGAACAAGAACCCCACACCGTCTTCCCATTGCCAGCACACTGAGTTTGCATAAAATACGAATTCATTATGTGTAGTCATTATGGAGAAATTTCACTAACAATCTTCTTGTTTGCACCCATAGACCGCAGATGGTAAGAATCTGATCAAACCCCACCACACCCCCCCCCCCTTCTTTCAAACAAATTTACCCCACCTAGTATATAACCATAGCCTCCTGCAGTCTTCGTCCTTAGAAGAAACATATCCCATCGCTTCCTACATGTTCTTCATCACAACCATTGCGCCCCACTTTACCTTCTACAGCCTTCCCCAACAAAACTAACACTCTCTGCAAAAACAACCAGAAGAAGAAGACGACGTCCAGAATGACCTTGAGCCAATCTCCACCTCCAACATTATCAGCGGCGGACGGCGAACCCGCGGCAAGACAATCGATTTTGCTGAGGCTGCTAGAAAGGCCCACGAAGCGGGCGTGCAGATTGACGAGGACGACGATGATGACGATGACGATTTCGAGGCGAAGGATGACGAAACTAATGGCAATGATGCAGATGACTTGATGAAGGATTGAGCGTGTTGGGAAAAATGCAAAATAATTTGTGGAGAGTGAGGGTTGAAGAGAATGGATTGGAGGTGAATCTGTTGAGAGATACAAAATGCCCTTTTTTTCCACCCCCCCCCGCAACTACGAATGACGAAATGATAAGAATACAGCCAGCCGTCCAATGAGATCTTTTTTTTTGTTTGGTGTTCATTTCGTGTTTTCTTACGCTCTTCTAGATCCTTGACCTTTCACACAATCATCTTTACTTTCTCAATCTGGTTGATTAGAGGTGATTTTCAAAGCCCGCTTGGAATATCGCGTATCACATATGCAATCCGGGGAATCAACAGCAAGGGAAGAAGAGAGGCTAAAAAGAAAATTGATCATGGGATTTCATCGTGTTTGGGGAATGTGACTCTCCGTCTCTTTTCGTTTTGTTTACTTTTTTCTTGGTGTGTGTTTTTCGCCCTTGTGGCAAGATAAAAAGCAGGGAGAAAGCGGACTGAGAAAGAGGTATGATTATATTGCATATAGACTCTTGCAAAAACTCCGAAATAAAATCCTACTTGGGAAGAAGTAACTTCAAGCATTTCTTTACTGGCTAGAGGATCAAAAGTAGTACGGAGTAACTCCGTGAAGGAACCCGGAGACGACAACAATTGAGAAATACGTTCAGAACCCAGCAGATTGAAAATCCTGCGCCTGCTTTGCATAGGGATCTACGTCTCAACCATCATCCCTACATCCTCTTCATCCTCTACATCCACATCCTCTCCATTCCCTTCACTTCCCTCTGTTGTTCGTACAGCGCGCTCTTTAACTATTTGGGAGTGGTGCAGGATGACTAAGCCTGAACCCATTCAACTCTTCAACTGTGGCACCAAAAGAGTTGACGCTGCTGGCCAGATGTTGTCAACATCTCAACATCTCAACTTCTGCTCCTCTAATCCTCATACGTGTTATAATGTCTACTTCCTGCGATCTATGCTGACATCCCAATAATGGCTTCGAGGTATGTCTACGTCTATCCAACAGGGAGAATCCCATTCCTGGCTTTTGTGCACTTTCCCATGTTTTTTTTTTTTTCTTCTCCGTAACACATCGTACAGGTTCACACATTCCTCGCTCCACCAGCGCGATCCTCGAGCCTCCTCGAGCCTCTTTGATTCATACGGCGGCAGCGACAGCGAGAGAAACCGCCCACAACCTGGTCGGTCGCCGGGGAAGATTGGCGGATATGGCTTTTCGGGATCTCCAAACGGACATGTAGACAGAGAGACTGCGTCGTATCGGGTCGCAACGCCGAACTCGAGGTATGTTGAGCATTTCCGTCTAGCACTGTCCAACTTCTCGTGCTTGTCGAACAGAAATGATAGCTGCATGTCCCATCCATGATGCTGGAAAGAATTTACGAAGAAAATACACAATCGGACGAATGGAACTGATTGCTCTTAGGGGCCAATATTCCGATGCAGTTCTTGACTCCCTCGAATCACAAAACGAGACGGAGCTCGAAGGCATGTCCGCGAAAGTGAAGATGCTGAAAGACGTATGCAGCAAACCTGTGTTACCCCTGTTATTAATATTCAGTTATTCCCTCTGTGAACCAACCCCTCTCCGATTTCCGCTCCTCCTAACCTGGCGAAAAATTGCAGATAACAATAGCCATAGGCGACGAAATCCGTGACTCCTCCGCCCTCGCTGAAAAAATGAACGATACCTTTGACAACACTCGAATACGGCTTCGCGGAACTATGAACCGGATGCTTATCATGGCTCAGAAGACTGGCGTTGGCTGGAAAGCCTGGCTGGGCTTCTTCTGCGCTGTATTCTTGCTCTTCACCTATGTGTGGCTGTTTTGAGCAAGTCCCTGAAATATTTAGTTGGTCCCGGGGGGACTGGTCCTGGACCTATACGCTATGACACGGAACGAATCGAAACGAACTCGGAAGTGGAAGAGAGAGGAAGAGGATATGAGATGGGAAACCAGGATAATTAAACCCTATTCGGCTTCTCCAACACAGTGCAGGTGGGACCTTATCATCTACGACCAAAATTTTTCGAAAACCAATGCCCGTTTCGTCGATTTTTGTTACCCCATACGAATACGGCATCCTATCCTCGAGGCCGTGCTACCGTGAACCTCGATCCCCATGCTATATGATGACGCTATAATATTTATACGTGTACCCTTTTGTGACTATTCCCGCCTTCGTGTCCTCGTCGGCTGTTGTACATTTCAGCACCATCGCATATATGGAGTTCTTGTTGTTGTTTCCGGATTCGACCCAATAATGAAGAAGGGGGAAAATAGCTGGATTAGACACATTTCACACCTTTTCTTTCAATGAATATACGCAAAACCGGTACTTCTGGTAATTCTATTAAGAACATGGGCGGCGCGCTGCAAAGGCTTTTCGGAACTGTGTTTTTTACCACAACCTTTTTTTTTTTTTTAACGTCTTTCCCGAGGTTTCATCATTATTTTACTGTTCATGATTAGTTCACCTCTCTCTTTTTCTCAATTATTATTGTACTGCACGATCCATCATTGCTGCGAGACTCGACTCTCTTTTTCTGTCTAGTCTTCTGGTTTACTATAACCACGCATCCGATAATAATGTCCTGCATCATTCCGTTCTCTGTGGCTTTCATAGACAATTTGAATGGTAATTAGTGCAAGCTTCATCTCTCCCGAGTTGGTGATAACTTTATATCGTTAGGAACTGATATCTATTGGGGAGTGGTGGGTAGCTCTAAATGAGATTATTGCTTTTAAAAGGTTCTTTCTCTCTCCCTATTTAGGTATCTGGGCCAAAGCGGTTGTGGTCTCTCCCCCCTTTAAACATGGCACTGTCTTTGCCGATGGGTGATTGCTTATCGGTTTTGTGACTCGATCTCATCCTTTTGTAATTATTTGAGCCAGCTCCCTTTTATGCTCTCTTGTCTATGTAATAGAGCGGAAATACATAAGCTTTTCACGATAGTGGACTCTAAATACTGGATCCAAGCATGGTAGTGGAGATTGAAATAAAAGATTCAGCATGCATCATGTATACCATATAGAAATAATTATCTCCCTACAGTTAACTCCATCTCACCAAGTGAATAGCTTACAAAGATAACAACACTGGATTAACGAGACTGCCGCATGAATAACGCCTTGCTGCATTTCAAACAAAGCAGTTCTAGGTAGGTGGCAGATAACAAACCATCATCATCATCATCATCATCATCATCATCAAAAACGACAAAGAAAAGAAAGAAAGAAAATTTCCAGGGGTTGAAGACGAAGAGCGGAATCTACGAATCAAGATTCTCAGAAGGGGCAGCCATCGCAGACCGCCTTCTCGGTCGCCTCCGCTGATTGCGCAAGTTCATGTTTTCCGTTGTAACAGAGCCAACCGGACTCCCATCCTCGCCCCCGCCCCATCTTCGCAAGAAGGAGCTTCCAGCATCAGTATCCAGGTGCACGGGGGACTGCGGTGGGAGACGCGGTAAGGGGGGAGCAATAATGGCGGAACTGCTTGAGTGGAAATTGTGCGCGGGGTAAGCGTGGGGATTATTATCTATTTCCATATCTGCGTCGACGTATGGATCTGCTTCGTCGCTATCGTCCTCCTCGTCGTCGTCGTCATCAACTTCATCATCATCTTCTTCTTCTCCTACGTCGCCGTCAGTATCAGTGTGCTCCCACTCCTGATGCTGGCCGATGCCATCCCCCCCTGCGCTGGGGATGTCCGCGTCGAGATCGCGCTCCATCACACTTGGCTCCTCTCCCGAACCCGCCGCAGACATAGGAGCAGAGGGCATATCCTCGTCAAGATCAGGCTCCGGTTCCGGCCCAAGCTGGTTGTCGAAAAAGTCATCCTCATCATCATCCTCATCCTCGTCCTCATCGCCATCGCTCTCGTCGTCACCATCACCCATCCCAAACCCATCCGGCACATCATCATCCAAATCCCTCTCCATCAACCCCCCGTCCTCATCATCCTCCAACCCCTCCTCCCCTTCCTCCATCAGCCCCCCCAAACCCCCACCCCCATCCGCATCAGGAATCTCATCATCCAAATCCCTCCCCAACAGCTCCCCGCCCATCCCCGTCCCATCACCCGTCGTCGTCCCTTCAACAGTCCCCATCCCCCCTCCAATCCCCCCAAACTCCAAGCCCAACTCCCCACCCAACCCCTCTACCGCCGCCGCAGCCCCTTCCTCCCTCTCCGCCTCCTCCTCCCGCACCCCCAGCATCGTCTTCGAGCAGCCCGCCGGCTTAATCCACGAAAACCCAAAGGCGGCAATGTTCTGTTTGCGAATGCGCAGCGCGTGTTCTTCCAGGAGCAATGTGGCTAGGGAATCTGATGATTGTGAAGCGGCTGCTGCTGCTGCTGCGGCGGCGGCGGCCATTGCAGATCCACCGGACCGTGCGGGTTGCTGCTGGGCCTGTCGGCGCCGGCTTTGGGAGCCATGTTGCTGGTTGCTGGAATTGTTGGTGGTTCGGTTTGGTTGGGATGGGGTATACCAGAGGGCGTGGGACTGGGTGATGATCATAAGAACTTTATTAGAATATCTGGGACACTTGGTTACTTGAAGGAGGATGTAAACTTATTGAAGGGTTCTTACATCACGAGGTTCTAGTTGAGGGAGCGAGGAGAGCATTTTTTTTTATTTTACATTACTTTTTGCGTCTTTCTTTTGTTTACCTTCTTTCAGTAATGTTCATCTCTTTCTTCACTTTCTCCCTCCTGAGGTCAGATTTCAATTCCCATTGAATGGCAGAATTTCAAATAGTCCGAGTAATCGTATATCGCGAAAAAGGTATAAATTTTGGTGGTACGGTTCATTAGGCGCATTATCACATTTTCTCATCAAGGGAGCTTGTTGTAGCGTCGGGTCGATGCAAAACGATGAGGTTCAAGTTCCGTTGGTCCTTTACTCTATCACGTGACACATCCGTTCCCAGTGCAGTGGCTGAAGGTTGTGAACAAGTGAAGCATATTTGAGGTTGGAGCATGAAATAGTATTGTTCGAAGAACAGGAAGAGAGCATGTAGCTTCTTGAGAAATTCCTGTTGAAAGAATAACTAGTTGCGGGTAATATTTGAATGCATCAGAATTTAAAGTTGGTATGCAAAACTCCATGAATGAATGCCCTCCGAGGAAAAAGCAGTAACTGGACCAAACATGCCACGATAGCGATAGCCGCAACGGGAGAGGTGGGATTATTGTTAAAGGCCTCAGCTGCCCGTCGCTGATCATTGCATTCTAGCGTGTTGGTGCTGGTGCCTGGGGAGAGGATTAATTCCTCGAGAGTTCCTATATTTTCGGTGTTGGACGTGTCTGTGGGTTGGCCTGTGATGATGAGGGCTTGCAGGGACATGGAGATAGGACGTGGCAAATGCATTATGGCTGATAGAGGGCTGCTATGGCCGCTACACTTTGACAATTGAAGGTGGCTACAACGGCGTATCTTAGTATGGAATGTGTGGAATCGTCATGTCACGCTACATCAAATCCGACCCCTTACCATTCCCTTGACGATTAAAGAAAAATTAGGAGACTTGCATCAGAGGAAGAAGATATAGAGTGAAATAGAAATATCAGAAAATCGATGTAGAAATAATTATTTCATGAAAGTGGAAATATCCCATGTTTCAAGGGACTCTTCAAAGGTGTGCGGCGGGATCATCATAGACCCTACACAGGGCTTCAATCAAATCACAGAGCTAGGGAGGCAGTTATCTGCTCGAGAGCAACCGCATTGCCAAACCCCACGGCTCGGTTATTGTCTTCATAAAGCTGTAATGGAGGCGCAACTCACGATATATTCTGACGATGGATCGATCCACATCCACTCTTGTAGAAAGGGTCACAACTCTCGCATCCCAGGCAGTTGGGGGGAACTTCCTCCACTGCACAGCCTCCAGTTCCATAAAACCAAACAAGCAAAGCGTGTCCAAGGAAGTGTTGAATCAAGTGAGCTGCCCCCGGCGGTCAAAGCAGCAAACTCCACAGCGCGCTGCAGTCGGCAAACAGAGACACACCCACACTGGACATGAGCCTGCTTCAACCGCTAGTTTTACTGTTAGTGAGTTAGTTATAACTAATTAGTTGGTTTAACTAACTAGTGCCCCGCGCACCCACACCTGATGTGTGTGCGCCACAGTGTAACAATAAAAACAGTGTAACAATAAAAATATCAACTTCTTCATTAATCAATCTTCAAATATTAATATATCACCACCACCATGACCAATAAGATAGATGATCTTGAAAAATGTATTCAGAGTGTCATTGAAGTCTATAATGATAATTGAAAACAGAAAATCCTACCTCTGGTATGCAAATTCAACATTTCTTATCAACATCTTTGAGTAAAAATCAATGAAAAAAAAACATGCAATGCAAAAACTGCACTGATCAAAAAGCTTAGCAAGAGTCAGAAGAACATGTTAAAAGAGTGAATTGCTCATATGAACAGAAATAATTGTCTGTCAACTGCAGAGTAGATTCAAGATAACATGAATCTCATTCTTAAACATCATTATATTAATTCTTCAATCTTCTCATCTGTGATCAGCAAGATGTGGACCTATCAATGTATACAAAGCTTGAATAAGTATAAAAGAATTAAGCAAAAGACAATGAATTCAAAAAGAATTGCTGTTGAGAATATTAGCTACATCAAGATGTGATTTGACTGTTTAAAAATCTTACTTCAAAAGTATATATTTCAAACTTGCAATATCTACAACTTCAATAAAATTGACTTTCAAGAGGGTCAAGAACATGGTAAATAAGTTATTACTGCTTTTAAAGACTTTAATTCAGTTTTAACTTCATCATATTCTTGAGAATTGATCACTGTGATTGAGTATGTTTCAGCAGATGATGAGATATTGAATCTCTTCATCATCATGAAATTCAAAACTCAACTTGAAAATTGATATACACAAAGCAACCTACCAGATGAATATACAATTGTGATATCAGATACTGGCTATATTAATGATGAGATTGACTTTGTATGAATTCAACACTTTAATAAGATTTTTAATAAATATTAGTAAAGCAGTTATTGATTACTGCTTTTTGATAATTATAGATTTTATCTCACTGAAGAATTTCTACAATACTGTAATCTTCACAAGATTATTCTATATGAATTTTCTTTACATTTAACTTATATATTGCAATTTTTAGACAGTATATTTTTTCAGCAGTATAAGCACTATTATTCAAAGACAGTTAATCAAACTGTGCAATATGAATATAAGCAGTATGAAAAACATCAATTTCTATAGAATCTAGTTGATGTCTGCAAAAAGACTTTTCAACCTTCTACTATTTGAGCTGACTTTGTAAATTATGACATTGTCTCATTCAATCTGCAATCTATACTGCTTAAGCTAGATTCAAAGATCTCTGACTACTCTGAGTTGCAAATATATGAAGAAGATTTTTTTTTCACTGCAATTAAACTATTCAAATACTGCTTCATCACAGCTATTTTTACTCAAAATAATTAAAAAACTACAATATCATATTTGAGTAACAAAGAAGATAATGCAAGATATGAAGAATATACTTAATTTTAAATCATCTTATTTGAGCAATTGATTAAACAAGATTTTTCAAGGCAGTTTTGTTCAGACAGAACTCAATGCTATAAGAGAGAGTGAGATTGAGAGTTATTATCTCACAATCAAATATCACAGCACTAAAAATACATATCAGCAGATTCAAGTAGGAGGTATACTCACTGTCAGAGATGTGAATAGAAAGATCACACAATGTAAAGAGGAGGAAGCAGAAAAAAAACATTATAAGAAAGTTAAATATATTAAGAGAGCTTTGAAGAAAAATGTCATGAATTCAACTCAACAAGAGATTAATGATATATATGAACATCTCATGAATAATACAGCTACTACAGATGATATAGATAAATTAATTATCATAGATTAGCAGTGTGGTGATGAGATATTAATTTTTGAAGTTCTAATTATCCATATTTTTATTGTTACACTGTTTTTATCATTACACTGTGGCACACCCACATCAGGTGTGGATGCGCGGAGGCACAATTAATAGTTAACGTAATCAACCACCCAACGCCCGTTTACACCCAACGCCAGCTCAAATCTTCACATTTTTCATTCATCTTTAACCACCCACAACATGCACCATGAAGCAGTTATACAAGCCGCGATTGATGATTTGAACGCGCAATCAACGCCTAATTACACTGAGACCGCTAAAAAAATATGGAATCAGCTGATATACATTGTCAAGGCGTTATAGAGGCGTTCAAATGTCAAGAAAGGAAGCAAGCTCTATCCACTGCAAAGCTCTCACTGATTCGCAAGAAAAACAGCTCCTTTTTCATATCAATTGATTGGCAGATCACGGTTTCCCTTGTACGCCCCAAATCCTTCATAATCTTGTTGTTGAGATTCTAAAAGCACCTATTGGAGTCAACTGGGTGGCTCAGTTCTGCGAGCGCCACAAGGATGTGATCAAGTCGCTCTACCTGCGAAATATCGACCAAAAACACAAGATTGCAGACAATTCTGCATACTTCAAGCATTATTTTGATCTTGTAATAGATTTCTTTCTTATACTGCTTTTTTAATTCTCATCTTGCTAATTTATCTTAATTTTTCAGCTGCAGGCAAAAATCACGAAATACAACCTTGAACCTGTGAATATCTACAACTTTGATGAGAAAGGATTCCTATTAGGATTCATTCACACCCTCAAATGCATTGTATTGATTAATTCGCTCAAATCAGGCCGTATGATAGGTGCCAGCCAGGATGGCAGTCGAGAATTCATAACACTACTTGCCTCAATTTGCGCAGATGAAACTTCGCTCCCACCTGCTCTCATATATCAAGGGGAATCAAGAGATATGCAAGATACTTGGCTCGAAGATTTTGATAGTGAAAAGGATCAGGCCTACTTCGCTGCTTCAGAAAATGGGTGGAGCAATGATGAATATGGGTTAACGTGGTTAAAGAAGATCTTTGAACCTCTTACTAAAAAGAAGGCAGGCCGCGGATATAGACTTCTTATATTGGATGGCCACTCATCCCATGTTAATATGGCATTCATCAATTACGCAGATCGGAATCGAATTCTACTCGCTGTCTTTCCTCCCCATTCTACACACCGATTACAGCCGCTAGATGTTGGGATATTTGGATCATTGGGTAAATCATATTCCAAACAACTGAATGAACGAATGAGAACTGGAATGGGATTCATACGCACTACAAAGAGGTCTTTTTGGCAGCTTTTTGACACTGTGTGGAAGGAGGCAGTTACATCTTCAAATATTGAAGCTGCATCTGCTGCTACTGGCCTACATCCATTCAATCCGGGACACATTCTTAAAAAGCTTCAAATACGACCTTGCACCCCCCCTGACGCAATATATCAACCAAGAACACCTACTTCTATTGTTGGCCTGTGGAAATTGGTGAAGCAAGTCAAGCAACAGCAGCATCAAATATCTAATGATCTCAACCGGGTGATCCGTGCAGGGGAAAATCTTGCTCTTGATAAAGAGGTTCTTTTAATATAGAATCGGCAGCTTCAAAAAGCTCTGAATCAAGAGAGGAGATGTCGCAAGCGTGGCAGGGCAATGGAGTTGCTAGATCCCTTGAATCCATCATTGGCGCAGTTCTTCTCGCTGGCAAAGGTGCAGAGCATCCGCGAGAATTTGGCGGCCTCAGAGGTTGCCAAAAAGGATGAGCAAGCTCGTAAGGAGGATGCAAAGCTGCAACGCACTATTCTTAAGGAACAGAAGGAGGCAGATATCATCCAGCAGAGGATGGAGCGGGAGGCAGCTCGCCAGGCCACAAAACAACAAAAGGAAATGGATAAGGCCGCAAGAGCTGCTCAACGGCAGATTGACAAGGAGCTTAGAGATGAGAAAAAGGCTCAGGAGCAAAAAGAAAAGGAAGAAGAACGAGCTGCCGTACGGCTACAATCACGATTGAATAAGAAGATGATTGAAGAATTCAAAAATTACCTTACTAATCGGGAAAGCAGACCCTTGATTTCGTAAAGAGTGGCTAAATCGCGTTTTCAGAGCCCTGTCAGAGTGCCCACGGATCCACTGCCAGAGGGATATGACGGTATTGCAATCTCTACTGGTTTAATGACTGCTTGCTCGCTGAATCTGCCTCCACCCAAGATTTCATGTTTTGGGCGAGTTATTAAGCCAAACAAATGTTTACTGAATTAGCTATATATTTTTATATGTAATTTTCTATATATATTTTCATCCTATAATATATCATCTTAAAATCTAATTGCGTTGTTGAAATAACGTTGAAAATATTTCATCATAGTGATGGCGAAATGGCGGGCGTTGGGTGTAAACGGGCGTTGGGTGGTGGATTACGTTAACTAAGCTAGCCAGTCTATATTTCGACCAGACCCTTTTTCAACCACTCTATTCAAACCTAACTCACCATCTTTATCACATGTTTTCTCAACCACATTATTAAAATGAAGTCTAATAATGAAGCTGCTATAGCTGCTGCTATAGAGAATTTAAAAAATGATGTTTTTTAATCAGAACAAGCTGCTGCTAAAGCACATAACATCTCATGAAGCATATTGAAGAGCAGAAAAAATGATTTCATTCAACAAGCAATTGCTCATCAACATCAACAAAAGTTGACTTCAGAGCAAAAGATCTTTCTAGTTCAATGAATAAAAAAGCAAGATTCACAAGGATTCTCACTCTCTCATGTATGTGTACAAGAAATGATGACTCAAATTCTATGAATGAATTGAGATCCTATTCAGCTAGATAAGAATTGAATAAGAAAGTTTTTAAAACAAAATTCTATAATAAGATCTGTGATTGATCAAAGAATTGAGTCTCAAAGAATAGAGAATACTTAGCAGAAAATACTTTAGCAGTTTTATAACTACTTTTCTGAGATACAACAGACTCATGACATAGTCAATGAAAATATATGAAATATGAATGAGCATGATATTGCTTTAGAAGTATGTACAAATACAAGAGTACTTGCTGAGCAAAGAAAAGATAAAATCCATATTAAATCTCTCTTTAATTGTGAGTTAATTTCAATTCTTAAAGCTATTAGTGCTGATGAGCACTATATAGACTCTCTAGTCATTTTCAAGATTAAAATACACAATTTAACTGATTTGAAAATGTGAATATACTCAATTGAATCTATATAACATCAGATAATAGATGGACATTGAATAATATATGTCTCAACTGGTTATGTATGATTTTTCTACCTCAAATGTTTAAGAAAGGTCAGCATAGATTATTAGTGCTGGATGATCACAGCAGTCATGTCATTATCAAATTTCTACAGAAATATCATATAAATTTGATTTATTTAGTGTTTCTACCTGCTCATATATCTCATGTTCTTCAGTCATTGAATCTTGAAATGTTTTCACTTATAAAGAGCTTCTATAGAGCTGAGATCATTGTGTTAAGCTATCTGAATGATAAAGCTTCTGTGAAGAAAAGAAGATTCATACAAGCCTATGAACAAGTATGTTCAAAGGCCTTAGGATCTTATAATATACATGGATGGTGGATAGCAGCTGGTCTAGTGCCATTTAATCCTTCCAAGGGATTAAATTTCTCTTAGATTTAAGATAAGAGTCAATTTAACCCTAGGCCAGTGACATCTACAACCTCTCTATCTTCTGAACTGCAAGATCCCTTGCCTACAACCCTTTGAGATCCTAGGCATATATATAAGGCTCTGCAGCAGTTGAATAAGAAGAGAATTTTTACAAGAAAGCAGCAGGTTTTTCTTTGCAAAGCTAGCAAGATGATTGATGAGTTGAATGCTCTACAAGCTGCTAGTCAGTCTACAATTTTTAAACTCTCTAATCAAGTAGAGACCCTACAGCAGTCAAAAACCAAAAAGAAGGTGAAAGTTGATCCAAATACCCAGTTTATCAATATAGAAAGGATTAAGAAGGCTCAAGAGAAAGCTGCTGCTCTAGAGGCTAGGAAACAACTACAGAAGCCAGAAATTGAGGCTAAAAAAGCAGCAGCAGCAGCAGCAGCTTTAGCAGCAGGTCTGGAAGCCTACATATTTGAATGACAATTAGATTGAATTTATAGTTAAATATTTACACAAATAGAAAGAGTGGTTACTTTGGATGGAGTGGTCGAAAAAGGGGTCTGGTCGAAATATAGACCGGCTAGCTTAATAGTTAATAAGTTTAACTTAGTTATAGTTTGTTAGGGGTGGATTACTTAATAGCCAACTACCGGCTCTAGTCCGGATACAGCCTAGCGCTCTTTGGAGCCAACAAATTAAAAATAATAAAAGAAATTTTTTTTTTTTAAAAAAAAAAAAAAAAAAAGGCTCAAAGACGAACAGCGAAAATAATATTGGGAGCTTGGGAGACATGTAAATAAACGGACATCCCCATATTCATTGGCACTGTTTCTTCTCTGTTTCTTCTATCTCTGTGATTTCGCTTCATTCCCCTGCCGCGTACTTCTCTCTCTATCGCTCTTTTTTTCACCTCTCTCAAATCCCGTCCTTTTGCTTCTGCGGCCAGCTTCACCAATTTGCGAATATCTCATATCATGTCTCCTCCTGCTCTTGTCGCTCCTGGCGCAGGTTCTGCCGCAAAGGATGTGAAGAGAGAGTCCGGGATTGCTCGACTTCTCGGGTCGGGTACGTTGGCATTCTCACCCGTTTCTCGGAGAGCAGAGAAGATAATGGCCGATTTTCTAACACGGCTCTATAGGATGCTCGGGCATTGCTGAACTTCTTATCTTCCATCCCGTATGGTCCTTCGCACACCTTTCAACTACTTCTAACCAACCCCAAAACTAAGGCCTCCTCCTTCACACTAGGTTGATACCACCTCAAAACGTCTAATGAGTCATCATGGAAAGGTCAGTTGATCGGACGCGGATGCGGATGCGGGGATGCCCTTCGTTGATTTGTTCACTGTAACTTACATGTTTCAAAGATCACCAATGTTTCGCAATTGAGCACAGTCATTTTCAAGGACTTTGCCTCTGCCTCCGCCGCATCGAAATTTACCTCCCTCTTCCCGGGTCTAGGATATGCAGCTGGATACAAAGTTTGCCTCTCTGGTGATCTCCCCTCTGGGTTTCGCATTGCGCACTAATGAATCCGTGGTTTCTAGGTCTTGCAACGGATATACAAGTATGGTGGACAGCCATTTGTCCGGGATTATCTGGCGAAGCACCATGGCTCTTCGTTCGACAATGCATTTGGCAAGGGCACGGGAAAGGCAATCATGCATGCCACAGCTGGAAGGTAAGGGGATTGAATTCAAGACCAACGTCGATTCATGAAAGAGAGAGGACAAGGATCACCAACTAAACCATTGTTTCTTTCCCGCCCTTTTGATTTTAGTTTGATCGGTATTGGAGAGATTATCCTTCTCCCTCTTGACGTCCTCAAGATCAAGCGCCAGACCAACCCCGAAGCATTCCGAGGCCGTGGTCTCCTCAAGATTATCAAAGACGAGGGCATGGGTCTTTACCGCGGCGCAGGGTGGACCGCAGCGCGAAATGCACCAGGTTCCTTTGCAGTATGTCAAACTCACCTCAATCCACGCATGTGATACAAACACCCCCCCCCCCCTTTCAACCCCCAGAATTGGATCTAATAACGCACATTTCATATAGCTCTTCGGCGGCTCCGCTTTTACCAAAGAATACCTTTTCAACCTAAAAGATTACAACTCCGCCACGTGGCTTCAGAACTTTGTATCGTCGATTGCTGGCGCGAGCGCCTCGCTGATCGTCTCCGCTCCACTGGATGTCATTAAGACACGGATTCAGAACCGAAACTTCGAGAATCCGGAGTCTGGCTTCCGTATCGTAAGCAGCATGATCAAGAATGAGGGCCTGACTAGTTTCTTCAAGGGACTGACGCCTAAGCTCCTCATGACGGGGCCAAAGCTTGTCTTTAGCTTCTGGCTTGCGCAAACGTTGATTCCGGCGTTTGGGAAGGTTGTGTAAGGTCCGGGGGCGAATTAATAGGACGAAATTTCCTTTGGTCCTGATTTTGTTTTATTCTTGCTGTTTATTCTTGCTTCTTTGTATCGTGCGCGACTTCACGACATGTTCAGTCTCGGCATTTGTTTTCCTCCTACATGCTTCTTGTCGTTTATTGCTATAGAGCGACAGTTTATGCTTGGGGTCTCTATGTAACGGGCGATTGTAATATACGGTTTCACCCTCCTCTTCGGCTTTTTCCTTCAACTTCTGCTCATTCCTCTATAGTCAATGGCCTTTCTATACAGGACAGGACGGATTTGCGATATAGGCGTTTAAATGGATATATGATTTCCTTGCACCACCATTGAATATATTACTACCCAAGGGATTCAGCGTCTGCTGTCGTCTCAGCCCCTATACAGACAGAAATCTGCTCAGCGAGAAAACGACTACCATATGCCCGGTCCATTTCTATCTGAGATATCTGGATAGATCCCTGGAAGATTATCAGATATCTCTTGCCCTTGCGCTGTGCAATGCAGACCGCACTTTGAATATTGCCAAGCGTTTCCGCCCAGGGCTCCGTCCAATCAACATCAACAACAGTAACCTCCAAACCCAACCGACAAACTCCCGACCCCTAACATACGTCCAGCAGCCCATTGTCCTACATCAATAATACAAGAAGGGAGTATAGAATAAAATAAAATAAAAGGAATATCCTCACCTCATCATGGCTGCCGCGGTTGTCTACCCACACCTCATTTCAAAGTGAGTAAATCAATCAATCAATCAATCAATCAATCAATCAATCAATCAATCAATCAATCAATCCTGCTCAAAAATCTTGCCCCCCGGCAACCTTCCCACCCAACCCAGGTAATATTGCATTACCATTTAATAACACAATCACGCATAGAATCGCCGACCCCCTCTTCGCAGTCATTATCGGCACCTCAGCAGCCTTTGTGCGCATCCGCCGCGAACATAGAGAGAAACACCCTGACCAGCCGGACGATGCGCGCTACCTGTTTAACCTTGGCACAACGAGGGTGAAGAGGTGGTGGGGTGGGTGGGCGGAGTAGATTTGGGGGGGAGCGTGTTGTGTGGATATTTGGGGAATTGGGAACTTGGAACTTGGGAACATGGGAACTTGGGAACTTGGGTGGAATGGGTTGCGATGTGTGACGTGCTGTGATGTAATGGGAGTTAAGATTGCGGGGGGTGGGGGGGTTGGACGAACCCACGAGATGGAATGGAGAAGGGAGAGCTCCAGGATCATGTCATGTCGCATATGTGTAGCGTGCTGTGTGCGCGGGGTGAATCCAGCAGCTGCTAGGAACCAGTCATCCAGCCACCCAGGGCTGAATTAGCTGGATCAGCCCAACCCCTCCCTCATGTCCGACTCGCGATATAGGACTCCGTCCGTCAGGCCGATTTGGCTGTCTCTTTCTCGTTGCTGTGGAATGCTGGCATATGTCATCGTTGCATCGTGGACGTGAACTGCCATTGCTTCAAACCGTTATCGCATTATTCATGAGGAGGTTTGGAGCGGGTGTTTGTATCATATTGGGTGGAAGATGAGCGCAAGATATGGTTTACGGGGTTGGTGGTTACAATACTGTATATATATATATATATTTGCATCCATCTGGAGTTTGGGCTGTTGGGATGGGCTTGGATTTTCGCTGTCGGTTAGGAGTCGCGCATTTCAAGGGAATTACATCGTTCAATTGCTGTACGGGTGCATGGCTGTGGTTATTGTCGTTTGTGGAAAGGATTTGCGCTCACGGAATTATTATGGCAGAGGTGTAGACAGTCTGTTGGGCGTGACTATAGTGGGGATATCTTGAATATTCTTATAAATCTCTTGATCATCTTGAGACGCATATTTTGGCAACGAAGATATCCACTTCCACTTCTGAATATTTTCTTTTGGAATGTATAGTTAGTTATATACAGATGCTTAATAATGGATACCTGTCTGCCTGGATGATAAATCAAACCCACAACTCTTTATTATTTGAGAACATTAATAATAACGAGCTGAAAAGGATAAAATACAACCTGTAAATTCAGCTAACGATATTGCATTTTATCAATGCAGAGATATTTTTTTTCCTTCTTTTTTTCTCTTTTTCTTTGGGAGTGTGTGACTGTTGAATTAGGACACTGCCAAGTCCCCGTATCTGAGGCTAGCCGAGGGGAAGAAATGTGAGAGATGTAAGAGAAACTAGGCTGTATCAGGTGAATTGACACCTCTCTGGATTGACATCGATTCAACTCGATGGTCGTCTGGGCGGTGCACGGGAACCGGCAGTACATATGAATGCATCGTATTTGCGACAGCCGAAAGTACGCCACTGCATATTGTGTAGATGCCATTCAGAACCCAAGGGAATACCATCCAGTCAGAAAACAATCAAAGTTAAAAGTAGAAACAGGCATACTAAGTGAAAGACATATCACGCAGAACAAAAGAGAAAAAAGATAAAACAAGCAAAGAAAAGAAACCAATAACGAAACATGTTGTTTATATCCCAAGCAACAGTAGAAAACGCCCGTACATATAATGCTCCCAACCGAGATTCAGCCCCATAGTGTCATATTGCATCGTTGTCCTCGCCGGCTTCAACAAAATGACCCTCCCTTGAAAAGGCTGAAAGCATAAAAGCTGATATAAATAAAAGGAAAAGAGAGAGACTGCGTTAGAACAGGTTTTTGCACATATTTGGATTTAACATTCTCCAAATGTGTTCTCGCCAGAGTATCTGTATACGGAGAGATAAAAGATCAGTGGGATATTCATCAGGGATACCATGGTCACATGGGGCAACTTACGTGATGTATAGGAAACCATCCTCATCCTTGTGCTCTTCATAGATGCTGCTCATCAGAGCGGCTGTGGGAGGGAGAACCTCATCGACGAAGATGAAAATGGCCTTCTCGGGAGAAAGCTTGATGCGTTTGCGGATGACGTAGACAAACTGGCCGACGGTGAGATCTGCGGGGACGAGATACTTCTTCTTGTCGATGGTTGCGATATCGGATTTCTCGACTTTCTCACAGATAACCTGCTCACCGCCATATGGGATATATACATCAGCACAGGGATTTATACGATGCTGGTGGTCTTCATAGCATAGCAATAAGAAAGGTGAATGGAGTATTGGGCATGAGTGGTTGATAGAGGGATGGTTAAGGGAAGTGAGGGAATGATACCGGGATGCGGTCCGTATATTTCGCTCGAATGCGCTCGGCTTCCGCCTTGCGCTTCTCAAATGGATGCTCGTCCTTGAACTTGGAACGCATGATGGATATGGAAGTTGTAAACTGTACGTTGGATGGAATAGCGTAGGAAGGGGGATAGGGGGATATGGGGTTGATGCGGGGCTGTGGCTATGTCGTATTTATGGACGGGGTGGGTGGGATGATGGCGTTCAGATGTAGGGGGATATCATTTGAGAGGTTTGGTGACAGATTGGGAAGATGACGCTGGTTGAAATAGCAGCATGACTAAGCTGTTGGAAAGCGGTTGGGTTGAATTCAGCACATCCCCACGTGACTCATGACGCCTGTGGATCAATGCCTAGAAGGTACTGGTACAAGGAGGTGCACTAGTCGCATGAGTGACACAGCGGGACGCAGCCAGATACGAGGTATCACTACAACCGACACCTTCACTTACAAGTCATCCAGGGTACTAGCAGTCAGGTAGGCAGCAGTGTCTCATTACTCGAGGCTAACTCATCGAGCAAAGTGCCTTAGTTCCCTGCGTTGTTGAGATCTATGTCATCCGATGGCTCATTTCTGCCCAGCCGTCTTTTCCTGTTCCTGTTCCACTTGCTCGTAGGTTGACAAAAGGCACATCGATGACTACCGTCGTTTTTAGGACTTGAGATTGGCCCACTATCGATGAAATCGAGGAACTGATACTTTCTCTTCCTCTATCGAGTGAATATCCATATCAGGCGGAGACTTATCGGAATTTCCCGATCCCTCGAAGAGACGCTCCTTAACTACCTTACGCCGGGTAACTCTCGACCAACCAACATATAAACTGACTACCCATTTGCAAACAGAGCAAATATGACATAATCAACGCTCTCCATTCCAGAAAATCCGAGCTTCGCACCACGTGATATCCGGCTGGGGTGCGATGGATGAAAAAAAGATATCTCCAACTTCGAATTTTCCCTGCAATTAACCAATGCTAATTATCTTATCGGATATGCATGGCCACTGATATATTTGTGTATCTGGCGGCCTTGGATTAGTTGTTCGGTCCTTGTTTTCTGCCAATTTTTTTTTTTCCAATTTAACACTAGTTATCCCTCTCTTCAGTTTGGAGTAAATATGGCTCCAAGGATGGCTCCGCAACGCGTTTATGCATCTATTCCAAAAGCTATAGGCCGAGGGGCAGTGTTGAGAGGCCAATTGGCAAGACTGCCTCGAAATCAACTATGCAGAATGTCATATAGGCCAAATTCCCGGCCCAGTGAGCGAGACACTGTCTGGAGACCCTACCTCCGAATCTGCGTCGGCATTGTATTCATAGGATCAATGATCTACTCAATGGTAGCTTCCAACCCCTAACCCTATGACACATCTTCTTTTCTTGCAAAGAGTTAAAACTGACCCATTTCTAAACATCAACAGGTAACCGACAATGAATCTAAACTCGACAGCCCCTCAATAGCGGAACTGGATGAATCAACCAAACGTGAAACCTCCATCACCGACTCCTCTCCAATGCGACTCCGAATGGAGAAGCTGATAAAGGAACACCAACAGAAGATCGTGGATGAATTATCCAGAATTGACGGCAAGCCTTTCAGGGTAGACACTTGGACCCGCCCCAATGGCGGCGGCGGCATCTCCTGCGTGCTGCAGGACGGCAACGTTTTTGAGAAAGCCGGCGTCAACGTCTCAATCGTATACGGAAAACTACCCCGCCCCGCCATCGAGAAGATGCGTGCAGACCACAAATCCTTCGTCGGGTCTGACGTCGACTCCCTCGACTTCTTCGCTGCCGGTCTCTCCCTGGTCCTCCACCCCAAAAACCCCATGGCCCCAACCGTCCACCTCAACTACCGCTACTTCGAAACCTCGGACCCAAAAAATCCTCTTAGTGGCGACAAGAACTGGTGGTTTGGTGGTGGCACGGATCTAACACCATCCTACCTCTTCCCGGAAGATTGTGAACACTTCCATAAAACCATCAAAGAAGCCTGCGACAAGCATGACGGCACATACTATCCCAAATTCAAAAAATGGTGCGACGAGTATTTCTACATCCCCCACCGCGGCGAAGCGCGAGGCATCGGCGGCATCTTCTTCGACGACCTCGATGCCGAATTCTTCACACAATCCCACTCTCACCCCCACGCCTCCTCCACATCTCAAAATCCGCAAGAGGCACTCTTCTCCTTCGTCACAGATGCCCTGTCTTCCTTCCTCCCCAGCTACATCCCCATCATAGAAAGGAGAAAGGACATGCCATTCACGCCCGCCGAGAAGGAGTGGCAGCAGATCCGTCGCGGGCGATATGTGGAGTTCAACCTGATCTACGATCGTGGCACGAGTTTCGGCCTTCGCACACCTGGCGCACGTGTGGAGAGTATATTAATGAGTTTGCCACTGACGGCAGAGTGGAAATATATGGACCCGGTGTCCGGGACGAGGGTTGCTGATGGCACTTCAAGAGCTCCGGAGGAGGAGGAGGAAGCTGGTGGTGAGGACAAAGCGCGGGAGAGAGAACTGTGTCATGTCTTGAAGAATCCGAGACAATGGGTTTGAGGAGAAGTCGTTCGATTTAGATTCCCTTTTTCACGACGATTCTGGTCTTATGGGTGATTCACACCTCACTTGTTTTTTGTGTCTTCTTTCTCCCCTCCCTCACCCTCCGTCCTTCCATCTGCATCTCTCCTTCCAGGGGATTGTAATACGCCGATGCAAGATATTTAACATTATTGGAGATTCAAAATGTATAGAGTCAGGAATAACAGGAAAACATATCAAGAACATTATCAATTCATCAAGACTTAATGGGGTCTCTCCGCAATATATAAATGCACGATGAGCCTCTACAATCCGTTTCTGTTCTTCATGGCGTTCAATGTTATTTCCCTTCATAGATTTCCGCTATCTATAGGGACCCAAAGAACACATCAAAGCGTGTTAATAAAATCGGAGTGAGGGGCATATAAACATTTATGCGAATTTGCAAGACGATCGTATGATTTAAAGATGAGTTGCTCTGTCTGTAGATTAGTGGAAAGGAACCAAATGAAAATTCAGAAACACCAAAAGTGTAAGGGATATATATAATCAGTAAATGTGCATTTTGGATGTGTATGCAAGCGCTATTGGGAGAAAGAAATATGGAAAAGAGAATGGATGGGGATTAATGATGAGATAATAAGGGAAATAAAAATAGCAAGTGGCTGCAGTGGTTTATTTAAAGAGAAATGAACTGGAAAGAACAAGTCTTTTGTATTGACAAAAGGGGCGAGTTAAATGTGGCATATCAGAACCCAAATATGCCGAATAAATCCAATAAATATGCTAGGGTGGGGAGAACGCAAGGACAAATGTCTAATATAAGAGAGATATATGGCAGTGAAGTTAAAAATTGAATGAAAAATTTTTAAAAAATAAGAGGAACAAATGGCTGATGTGTTTACACCACTGGGCCGGGTGTTAGTGGTGCGATGTGCTGATGATTTTTACCTCATTTCCAGGTTGCATCCAAGACAACTTAATGAGCCTCACCTGCTGGTCATATATACATTGCTTTTCATCGTCCATTGCCTCTAGCCACGAGAGCTCTTTGCTTCGCAAGCCAGCTTCGATGAACCTCGGCTCCAGGCGTGCTGGTGCTCGCGGGATGCCGGTATCGCTGCATGGAAAAGTTGGCATGCTGCAGTCGGGATTGTTGGTCATACCATGCTGATGAAATGAGCGCGATCTCGCGTGCTTGGCGTTGTATGATTTGCATCAGGTTTTTCTATGGGTTATGGGTGTCTTAGTGGGTTTCTCTTGGCTTGGGCTTTTATATTTTGTAGAGGCAAAGGTGGCTGTCGTAGAACTGGGTAAGAGAATTCAAATTTTACCTGTGATTCATAACTTGAACCTTGTTCCTCCAGGTGCTCAATTCGTTCTTGAAGAGACTTTATAAGTTCGTTCTGCCGATTTATATACTGTTTCTCCCATGCGTTGGCTGCAAGTTAGCAGAGGAATTGAGGTCTGGTTTAACATAATTTCCAAACGAACGCTCAAGATCACAGATAGCGGTATGCCTCGAGAATGATAAAATACAATACAAGCGCGGCGAGGAGGAGTGACCATTGTCAGAGCGACAGGGCACTCCGGACCTACGACTGGTCAACAGCCTCTGCCAATGCTTGTATCTATTTCGCGCATAAAGGGAGAGTTTAGATATAGATCCAACCCTAGCCACCTGCGGTCTGGTTGATATAGTAGTACAGTTTGGGAAATCCTTCACCTGGCCAAGAGGCCTTGTTGACCTTTTGGGGATCATCTGAGAACAAAGTGGGAAAAGCGATTCGAGAGTTAAAAAAAAGTTGCCCACTAACCTCTGCTCTCTTCGCCAGTTTTTCAGCGCTGCGCTCCGCGGTCTCAACAAACTGCCTCAACAACTCAGTCCCTGAGAGTTGGGGCCCATCAGAAGTGCTATTGATTCTGACAGTGACCTCTTCGAGAAGTCTCTTCATTTCATCCATGGTGGCTTGATCTTCGCCTTGCATCTCCTGCTCCTTCTTGGTGATCATGTCTCGGAGGGAATCACGCTCAGCAGACACCTCCTTGACGAATGTTTGGCTGGCTGAAAGTTTGGTTTCGAGCTCTTCGATTCTGTTTCGAAGAGATTGTACGTCTTCTCGCATTTTTATTATTTCCGGAGGGGAGGAGTCGTTTGCCGCGTCAACCATGTCGAGTTTATCCTTACTGATCGAGCCCACTTCAACAATGTCAACCAGGGGATGAAGGAAAACATTTGGAGAATAGACTCACATTCGGATTTTGCGTCCCGGAACTGTCGATCTGTTTCTTCTAATTCGTTTTCTGCATCAGTGAGCTTCTTGCGAACGGCTGAATATTCATCTTGTAGTTTCTGATATGCGTCACTGTGGTTTCCATTATTAGACTCTGATCGCTGCAAGGGAGAGTTTGATTCCCACTTCTCTGAAAATTGCGCAACACCGAGCCCAGTCGAATGTGATATTTCACCGTTAAGTCTTTCAAGCTCTCGTCTGAGCCCTTCGTTCTCGATTTTACTGGAACAAGTTAGCGTATCCACTGAGCATGGAACAGGTATCACCAACAGTTGCGCTTCTCGTCGACCAACTTCATCAAGATCCCTCTGAAAAGTCCCGTGAACCTTTGGCGTTGTGCTTTCTGGTGTTATTGGGCTCTCCAAGCCCTCGAGTTCCCGTATTCGGTCACGCAATTCACTGATCGTGGCTTCATCTCTGGCAATTTGGTCTTCTGCGCTTTGAAGTCTTTCGGTAAGAGCATGGTTGTTAAATTCCAGCTGCTTCTTGACATTTTGAATTTCGTGACGATCTTGCTCTATTCTTGGGAGGACGCGACGATATTCCTCAAGTTCCACATCACGCTCAGAAGAGGATTTCTGGCTAATATCGCTGTCTCTCAACTGCTGTTGCAGATTCTTCACTTGATTTTTTAGCGCGATATTCTCCTTTTCAAAATCGTGGCTGGCTTGAAGCTTCTGTCGGTATTTCTCCGCCGCATTTGCTCGTCTGGAGAGCTGATCTCGTTCGTTCTTTACTTCGTCGTAATCGTCTTGCAGCTTCTGAAATCTCTGGTTTTTTACGCGTAGAGACTCAACAGTCATCCGTAGACTATCGATTTCGTCCTGAAAAGACTGTATTTTAGCTTCTTGAGACGCTATAAGATCCTCTTGCTGCTGGGTTCTACTCTCGAACGTTTTGGCATTCGGTATCAAATCCCCTTTGCCAGATTTAAGGATAGCCAATCGGTCTTCCGTAGATGTGAGCCTATCCAGCACCATATCGTGGCTTTCTTGAAGCCGAGCTAGACGATTGTGCAAATCCTCCACTGTTTTCTCAAGCTCCTGCTTTTCATCGGATAATTTATTTTTTTCCGCCAGCACTTTTCCGAAACGCTCCTCAAATCGCAGTTCTGGGTCCATGGGCAAATCCTGTGTTGTGGAGTTGTCATTGCGCTCATAATCAAGTTCCTCCAATCTCTCATAGGACGGATTCTGTGCTTCTTGGATGATATCTTTGAGGCCTTCTTGTGTCGAAGTGGACAGCTTCTGCATTGTCGTTATGTAGGTTTCGGCATTTGGCGAGCTAATGGCGGCGAGGAGGAATAGTTTGAGTAGTTCGTAGGTTTCCTTTGTCGACGAAGCTTCTGCAATAGCTTTTAGATCGGGGGAGATATTAAGTCCCGACGGAACTTCGCCATCGTTCTGGTTCCTTATATACCCGATCAATGCCTTGTGGATGTATTTGAGGTTCTGCCATCGCGGAACCCAGTGGTCTGAGGGAGAACGTTCCGGTAACTCCCCAAGAAAGTACTGCGGATCGATGTCCTGAAGAGTATCCCAGAGGATAGAGCCATCATTTAACTGGTCAATGGATCGAACGGTAGTCCCCAGGTTAAAGCTGTTGATCCATTCGAGGAGGGTCGACGACACGAGGTCGGAGATCATTGCGACGAGGGGTTGGGCGGCAAGGATTTACAAGATGTGCAAGTATTTAGAACCAAAATGATCCCGCATCATGGTACGGAAGGGAGGAGGCGGGGGAATAAGTGTGGCAGCGCCTAAAAGCCGTGTTTGTCTGGTGTGCGGAGTAAATCAGATGTCACGTACATATATTTAAAAGATGGCGTCGGAGATCCCTTGAAATGAACGGACCCAAACAAATGTCTAGTCCCTACAACAACTATTTTCGCAGAACAACCTGGGCATGCCACCCACGCCTGAAGAATTCAGAGCAGTTAAATACTCTTACAGTTGATGCTAGCATTTAAATATCATATTTAAATGTTTCCAATATGATAATCGAGCGAGACACCCAACGAACGCATTGTGGAATTCTTTGTCGTATCTGCTCCCTACTGTCGCTTATTTACTTCCTGTTAAAGACGTCCTCCGAATGCAAGAAAAGGATATCGATCAAACAAAATACAATAAAAGTGGAGGCCAATCAATTTTTAACCCATCAAATATGAAATGTACAACCACTGCCCAAGGGAAGAATATCAAGGCACATAAGTTGCATGCTGTTTGTTTCTAGCCCACCCTCCTCATTAATTTGATATCTCACACCGAGAAGCAGAGTGACTCCCCACAGCGGCCGAAAGACAAGGGAAAATCTGATTGTCAACGGAAAGATTCCGGCGTATGTTTGTTTCATATTTATGAATTGCAATTCCCACTTGGACGGCTCACTTGGCGTGAGAATTTAGGAACCAGGTTCGACTTTAACGATCTGGCTGTTTATGCTGACAGTGGAATCTTCTTCGACATAAGCATTATATTCCTGTCCCAAGGTCGACACTACTTCCATCGCCTGTGCCGGAGCTGTTGCAGCGAATCCCCTAAATTCGCAGATCATGGTTCAGCGAGAGGTCAATAGGGACGTGAATAGAGGGCAGCATCATACTTCATCAAGTTATATCTATGGGTGATGAAGCCACCCTATAATCACCGTTAGTAAATTGTAGTTAGATATCAAACGCTTCCCTCAGGTGGGTTCTAAATATATGGGTATCATACAGCCATCTGGATCGCCTCGATAGCTTGGTCGACAATGGAGTCAGGGGTATTGTCCGGATAGCTAACGACGAATGATTTGATGGGTTGATTTTCTGCGAGAACTGCCGGTGCCAAAAGCGCCAGAAGAGCAGAGATGGAGAAGAGCTTCATCGTGAGGATCAGATCGGATGGGTAATATTAGATGTCTAAATATCCAAATAGGTACCAAATGATATATTGCTGGATGGAGTGAGATGTCAGCAGTGAAGGACGGGAGCATGTATTCACGCAGAGTTGCATTCCCGATGAATGGACATTTGTCTGATAGGTTCCAAGGTGGACAAACCATGCAAGATTCCAAGTGTCTCTCTATGGATGTCCTGGAGTCATTAGAGGGGGCACTGCCGAACTGGGGGGGATGCCTTATCATCGTACGTAAGCTATGGGGTTAGTTAACTAACTAGTTATAACTAGTTAACTAGTTAAGGCTGCCCGGTGAGTCAGCCAGATTCACCACGGCATCACATGATCCTCGACTGGCGCATGTGATGACGGGATTACCCTTCGTTGCTTCTATCTTCCGGTTCCGCTATCTAGATCACGTGATAGACGTGCAGTGGTCAGCAACCTGGTTTAACCCGAGCCAACAAATACATATTATATGTAGTGCGTAATAGGAAGCCTAGGCTCCCACAGTTAGGACCCTATGTTATCTGCGATCACGTGCGGGCGGGTCGCCTGGTTGATCTTTGTACAGAGTAATATTATTATTATTATTATTACTTATTTAACACCTGGAGGCACGTGATCAGCTGACTAAGAATAGTCTGCTGTCGCGGCCACAGCACCTCCCTAAGGGTATCAGGTGTGCCAGCACAGCAGCTAGTCTGCTGTCTGACATGTCTAGTCAGCTGAAGCCCTCTTGAGAGTCTATGTACAGAGTAGCCTCTGTCCTGGAGGTTCTGAATGGCATAGTAGCTGAAGATTACAGGACTGAGAAAGCCAAGGACTTCTAGAGTGGTGTGTAGAGATGATGAGAAATGTATATAAGAAGCATAGAAAAGAGAGAGAGGGAGAGAGAAGTCAGATGTTGAACAGATTCTAGTAGCAGTGTTGAATTTCAATGAAGAAGTGAATATTAGTGCATCAGATAAAGAAGATTGTAGCTTCTTTTACTGTGCTGAGAAGTCAGTTAATTGCTTTTTTTGATTCTCAGCATGCTTCAGAGGTTTTAATTCATTCAATGTTTCAGTCTTTCCAGCAAAAGAAGAAGTGCTCAGAGGTCTTATCTCAGCTGCAAGAGCAGATGAGAAGTGTGTTGTCATGTGCTCATCTGTGATGATAGACTGCAAAGTCACTGTGATTTGTTTTAGCTGTCAGCAGATGATCTAGATTCCTTCAGAGAAAAGTGAGCTCAGAGAAGAGTTCTTTTGACATTGAAATATTGAGATTCTTGTATTGTGATGTGCTATTGAAGCTTCAGTATTGTTGCAGTGAGGCATTGAAGTGTTCTTTAGCATAGAATTTGATCTGCATCAGAGTCAGAGTATGATGAGTGCATTTCATTATGCAGACTGACTTGACTGCAGCATCTGCAGCATCATTGTCTGGAATTTCAGTGTGGTCAGAGCACTATTGAACATAGATCTGTCTCAGATCAGCTGGATCTGAGCTCTGTTTTGTTCAGAATCTGCAGAGTTTGTTGAACTTAGCAAAGACAAGAAAAGATGTTTGTGTGAGTATGTCTGTATGAAGTCTTATTGCAGTCTCTTCATTGTCTAGAGTCACTATAATGTGCTGTGTGAACATAGAGAAGGAATTCTGTAGTGCTGTCTTAAGATCAGCAACTGCTGCAAGCACTTTGACATTAAAGATCTTGACAGTGCAGCTCAGAGACAGCTTATCAAGCTTCAGAGATTGATTTATTTCTTAGTATAGACAGTAGTCTTCATCTGAAACTTCTTGACTGTCTTTGAAGTCATCAGTATATGTGATGAGATTGAGAGAGAATACAGCTTTCTGAAGTCAGTTTTGAAAAGCTGCTGGTTCTGCAGCTTGTTCCACAGTCTCAATTTCTAGTGTCTTTTACTCTCTATTTAATATGCCAGAATTGTTCCAAGAAGGCAAGAACTCTGAGCTGAGTGTGATGACTGTCATTTTAATGTTTCATCTAATTCATTTAAAATGTGAGATGTATCATCTTCAGTGTAGAGAATGTGACAGATCAGCTGCAGCTATGTGAATGACTAGTCAGTCATGTATTTTTTCTAGTCAGACTTTGACTGGGTCTCAGCTTGATTCATATAGAAGAACAGAGATAGATGTTGTGGCAAAGACAGATAGAATGACTCAAGCAGTGTTGTTGAAGACTATCTGAATCTTGTCAATAACTGTCTGAGAGGTTCACTTCAAGAATCAGATCTCAGCTTCATAAAACAGAGTGCTGAAGACACAGCTTTGAGTTGCTTGTCTGAGCAAATGTGTTTAATTTCTGAATGAGACTTCATTTAGTGATTTAATGTGTTCTGTAACAATTCTGACTCAAGTGCACATAAGATGAATATGTTCTCTGAAGAGTAACTTTCTGTCAAAGAAAACTTCTAGTCATCTGATGTAGTTATTGAGGGAAATTGTCTGTTCATTAAAGAAGATGAAGAGCTCTGAGTACTTGATCTTTTTATGAAAGTATTGAAGCTCTGTCTTGACTGAGTCAAATGAGATTTCATTGTCAATATCTCATTTCAGAGTATGATTGAGAGAATTCTGAAGCTGACTTCCTATCTGCTCAAGAGAGCTTTCAGTCTTCAGAATTGCAATGTCATCTGCATACTCAAACTGATCTTTGATGAGCTGAAGGAGAGGTTCTATGTAGAGCAGAAAGAGAATTGATGAGACAGAAAATTTCTGTGAAAGATCACAGAGAATCTGAAACACCTTCAATTAAACATTGTCTAGTCAAATCAAAGCTAGTCATTGATCAAAAAAAGACACTACTCACTTTATCAGAACTGCTGGCCAGCTCTGTTCCTGTAGACATCTTAGAAGCCAGTCTTGAAGAACTCTGTTGAAGATCTCTTTGACATTTAGAGTGATCATGCCAGCCAGAAGATGTTTGTCCCATGCCCATTGTACATCACAGACTAGTGCAGTGATGAGATCTACTGCAGATCTCTGTTGAACAGCACTACACTGATCTTCTGCTAGAATGTGATGATGAAGAGTGAGATGAGACATTCATCTAGCTATCAGACACTTCAGCTCTTTGCTGAGACAGAATAGCAGTGCAATTGAGTGGTAAGACTTTGATAGAGAGTAATCTCTTTTCTCTGACTTTGAAATAATCACCATCTCAGTCTTCTTGAAGCTCTGGGAGTGGATTCCTTGATCTATACAGTGTTGAAAGAGTAGAATGATTCAATTGCCTATCACTGACCATGTCTTTTGAAGAATCTTGACTGTAATGTCATTCAGATCAGAAGATGTGCTAAGTGTCTGATAGATGACTCTGTAGACTTTCTGCTCTGTTAGAAGCATTCAGAATATCTCTCTGCATGAGATTGTTGATGTATGCTCTGGAATATCTTCTGTGTCAAGATGTCTGGTCAGAAGTGTCTCACACAGTAGAGAAGATTTGCCAGCACAAGATTGTTCTAGATGTTCATCAGAATGTCATAAAGAAGAAGTAAGATCTTGAGATTGGTATTTATGCCATTTGACAATCTTGTAGACATCTGATAAGAAGAAAGCCTTCTCAATTTGCTGATGATTTCATGCTCTCTTAGCTTTTCTAATTTCCATCTGAAATGTCATTTGTTCTGATTGACAAGGGCTGTGTCTATGTGCTGCATGATATACTCTTCTGGCTATCTTGACTGCTGGGGTCCATCATGAGGCATGATGACTTTTGAGTTCTGAGATGAGAGAGCAGAAGTCTTGTAGAGTCAGTTGAAGAGATTTCACAATGTTCATCACTTTCTCATTCACATTCTCATAGACTAGTGAGAAGAAGAAAGTGAGTAGTTGCAAGAAGCAATCAGCATCATAGATTGTGAGACTAAGCTTCTTTTTCTTAATCAATTGAGTCTGAGTCTGTGATAATTGAACTGTTGTGATAAGAGTTTCATGATCTGAGATGCAGTGCAGTTCAGAAGCAATATGACAAATAGCTGAGTTGACAGCACAGAAGACAAAATCAAATGTGTCTTCTTGTCTATGTGTAGAGAATTCAGCTGGGTTGAGAAGCTGAAGTTTCAGAGAGATTGCTCAGTTATACAGATTCTCTTCTGCTTGAGAATGTCTATCAGTTGTAAAGTCTCATGCTGTGTGTCTAATATTAAAGTCTTCTAATGTCATTCAGAGAATGATCTCTGTGGTGTGTGTAAGAGAGAGAAGGTCTTGAAGGCCTTGACCTGCATCTGTGATGCCAGATGAGATGTTGTATATGTTGTAGATATTAGCTCTTTTGAAGTTAGAGATCTTAACTGAGACACAGACAACATTTCTTGAGATATCTGCTATAGATTGAGTTGATGCAAGAGCTCTTTCATTTCTGACATAGAGCAGTACTCTGGGCCTCTTGATCCAGTTGAAGAAGAGCAGAGTGAAGTGTTTGTATGAGAAATGACTTTTGAAGAGGTGGGTGAAGAGGTCTGTAGCTATTCAGAGTTTCTGAATGACTACAATGTTGCAGACTCTTTCATCTGCTAGTGAGAGAGTGATGTTGTGAGAGTTTGACTGTCTTTCTACATTGACTTGATATACAGTGAGTGTAGATTTGTGAGGAGGACTGTGACTGCTCTTCATTAGTGAAGGTTCAGACTTGATGTGATCTTGATGTCTGTTTGAGAGCAGGTCATTGAGTCTGTCTGATTGCTCTGAGAGCTAGTGACTGATGTCAGCAGAGCTGAGAGAGGAGATGAGATGAAGTCTTTAGAGTTTAGCTCTGAGTTGCTCTTCTCTGCTGAAGTTTGATGAGCTGAGATGAATGCTCTTCTGCCAGCTTCATGTATTGAGTGTAGCTGACAGTGAGAGATGTGTTCTATATGTTCAGAGACTATTTTGAGTCTCACTGAACAGTCAGTGCTGAGAGTGAGATGAGAGTCAAGACAGTTGCAGCAGTGAGCTGGTGTTTGACATCTGTCTGAGTGTGCAGGACTGCTGCACTTCTCACAATGTAGAGATCACACACAGTTTCTTTCTGTGTGGAAGCTGTGACATCTTGTGCAAATTAAGATCTTTGATGATTTCTTGATTTTGTTAATCATCACCAGACAACTGAAAAGATGAAGTTTGTTTGAAAAGAGATGCACTTCAGAGATTTGTACTTCAACCCAGGCATATCCTTCATGCAGATTGAGGTTCATGGACTTCTTTGTCCAGTGACAACAGATGATTGAAGTCTGATGAGCAGTGTCTCAAATCTCAGAAAGAAGCATCTTTTCTGACACTGAAATCAGAGTGATATTCTGTCCTTCAAAGCTGTGTGTCAACTTCTTGATTGAACTGATTACAAAGATGGTTCAGAATTTCTGTTGCTCAATAAAATAATCACTTACAGCAGCTTTCAGCTTATCTGCATGTTCAAGAATAAAGACTGCCTTTGCTGAGAAGAGGGCAGCCACAGTGATTTCTGATGAGCAGTGTCATACATCAGTGATCCAGATCAGATCAGAGATCATGATGTGTATTTGTTCATGAATAGTTTGAAGGTCTAGGTCACAAGCAGTGTGTGCTGCAGATAGTTTAATCATGACTTGTTTATCTTTCTGTTCTTGATGCAGAGAACAGTTGATCTGCTGTATCTGCTTCTTATGAGATTGTCTCATTGCTGAAACAGTCTGAAGAAAATTGTTTGAGAAGATTGTCTTAGCTGTTGTGGCAGTAGCATACATCAACATAGACTTTGATTCAGCAGTGAGGTCTTTAATGACTTTGACTATGTCATGTTCCATGACTTGCCTTAGTACAGCAGTCTGATGTGATAGAGAGTTCTCATAAGTGCAGAGTATCAGATTCAGTACTGTAGATAGCTTATTATATAGCTCAAGCACTGCAGCTAGCTCTGCAGAGAAGAAGTTGTTGACATGACTCAGCAGAGCATTGAGCTTATAATTCACTGTGAAAGAGAAGTTCTTTGCAGTTAGCAGGACTGCTTGAGTGCAGTTGATCACATTCTCAATGAATTCTCCTTCTGATGAGAGAGCTGGGTGGGGATTGAAGTTGATATTGATTTGATGTAGTTGAGCTGTGATGGCTGTTGTAGTGTCTGACATGTCCTGGAACATGATGTTTTGGGGCTGAGAGGGGTTGTCTGGGGGTTTTAGCAGAGCAGAGAAGATTGTGTGGGCTCTCTTCTTTTTAGAGTGAAGAGGAGCCTTGATGATAGCAATGTTGCTATTATTTTGACTCATCACAGCAAAACTGTTTTTTCCTTGAAGTATGGAGTAATATTGAAAATATTGAAAAGGGTCTATATGCGCAGAATCACATGTGGACCGTTTAAAAACCACATAGAACACCCACATGATGTGGGATGGTTGAATCTCTCATATTGGGAGGCCTAGCTAGCTATCTAATATACGCTATATCACGTGCGGCGGGGCGGCAGCAGCCCAGGCCACATACGCCCAACACCCCCCCACAAGAGCAGTCACAGCCCTCCTCACAAATCTACACTCACTGTATATCAAGCCAATGTAGGAAGACAGTCAAGCTCCCATGACATCACTCTCTCACTAGCAGATGAAAGAGTCTGTGACATTGTGACCATTCAGAAACTCTGAATAGCTACAGATCTCTTCATCTGCCTCTTCAAAAGTCATTCCTCATACAAACACTTCACCTCACTCTTCTTCAACTGGACCAAGAGGCTCAGAGTACTGCTCTATGTCAGAAATGAAAGGGCCCTTGTGCCAACTCAATCTATAGCAGATATCTCAAGAGATGTTGTCTGTGTCTCAGTTAAGATCTTTAACTTCAAAAGAACTAATATCTACAACATATACAACACCTCATCTGGCATCACAGATGCAGGTCAAGGTCTTCAAGACCTTCTCTCTCTTACACACATCACAGAGATCATCCTCTGGATGGCATTAGAAGACTTTAATATTAGACACACAGCATGAGACTCTACAACTGATAGGCATTCTCAAGCAGAAGAGAATTTGTATAACTGAGTAATCTCTTTTAAACTTCAGCTTCTCAACTCAGCTGAATTCTCTACACATAGACAAGAAGACACATTTGATTTTGTCTTCTGTGCTGCCAACTCAGCTATCTGTCATATTGCTTCTGAACTGCACTGCATTTCAGATCATGAAACTCTTATCACAACAGTTCAATTATCACAGACTCAGACTCAATTGATTAAGAAGAAGAAGCTTAGTCTCATGATCTGCAATGCTGATTGCTTCTTGCAACTACTCACTTTCTTCTTCTCACTGATCTATGAGAATGTGAATGAGAAAGTGATGAACATCATGAAATCTCTTCAACTGACTCTACAAAACTTCTGCTCTCTCATCCCAGAACTCAAGAGTCATCATGCCTCATAGTGAATCCCAGCAGTCAAGATAGCCAGAAGAGTATATCATGCAGCATGTAGATACAGCTCTTGTCAATCAGAACAAGTGACATTTCAGATGAAAATTAGAAAAGCTAAGAGAGCATGAAATTGCCAGCAAATTGAGAAGGCTTTCTTCTTATCAGATGTCTACAAGATTGTCAAATGACATAAATATCAATCTCAAAACCCCACTTCTTCTTTATGACATTCTGATGGACATCTAGAACAATCTTGTGCTGGCAAATCTTCTCTACTGTGTGAGACACTTCTGATCAGACATCTTGATGCAGAAGATATCTCAGAGCATACATCAACAATCTCATGCAGAGAGATACTCTGAATGCTTCTTACAGAGCAGAAAGTCTACAGAGTCTTCTGCCAGACACTTAGCACATCTTTTGATCTGAATGACATTACAGTCAAGATTCTTCAAAAGACATGGTCAGTGATAGGCAATTGAATCATTCTACTCTTTCAACACTGTATAGATCAAGAAATCCACCCTTAGAGCTTCAAGAAAACTGAGATGATGATTATTTCAAAGTCAGAGAAAAGAGATTACTCTCTATCAAAGTCTTACCACTCAATCACACTGCTATTCTGCCTCAGCAAAGGGCTGGAGTGTCTGATAGCTAGACAAATGTCTCATCTCACTCTTCATCATCACATTCTAGCAGAAGATCAGTGTAGTGCTGTTCAACAGAGATCTGCAGTAGATCTCACCACCACACTAGTCTGTGACATACAAGAGGCATGAGACAAACATCTTCTGACTGGCATGATCACTCTAGATGTCAAAGAGGCCTTCAACAGAGTTCTTCAAGACCAGCTTCTAAGATGTCTACAGGAACAGAGCTGGCTGGCAGTTCTGATAAAGTGAGTAGTGTCTTTTCTCAATCAATGACTAGCTTTGATTCAACTAGACAGCATTCAATTGAAGGTGTTTCAGATTCTCTGTGATCTTTCACAGAGATTCTCTGTCTCATCAATTCTCTTTCTGCTCTACATAGAACCCCTCCTCCAGCTTATCAAAGACTGATTTGAGTATGCAGATGACATTGCAATTCTGAAGACTGGAAGCTCTCTTGAGCAGATAGAAAGTCAGCTTCAGAATTCTCTCAATCATACTCTGAAATGAGATATTGACAATGAAATCTCATTTGACCCAGTCAAGATGAAGCTTCAATACTTTCATAAAAAGATCAAGTACTCAGAGCCCTTCATCTTCTTTAATGAACAGACAATTTCTCTCAATAAATACACCAGATGGCTAGAAATTTTCTTTGACAGAAAGTTACTCTTCAGAGAACATATTCATCTTGTGTGCACTTGAGCCAGAATTGTTACAGAACACATTAAATCACTAAATGAAGTCTCATTCAGAAATCAAACACATTTGCTCAGACAAGCAACTCAAAGCTGTGTCTTCAGCACTCTGTTTTATGGAGCTGAGATCTAATTCTCAAAGTGAATCTCTCAGACAGTCATTGACAAGATTCAGACAGTCTTCAACAACACTGCTTGAGTCATTCTATCTGTCTTTGTCACAACATCTATCTCTGTTCTTCTATGTGAATCAAGCTGAGACCCAGTTAAAGCCTGGCTAGAAAGAATACATGACTGACTAGCTGTTCACATAGCTGCAGCTGACTCATCACATCCTCTACACTGAAGATGATACATCTCACATTTTAAATGAATTAGATGAAACATTAAAATGACAGTCATCACACTTAGCTCAGAGTCTCTGCCTCCTTGGGACAATTCTGACATATCAAATAGAGAGCAAAAGACACTAGAAATTGAGGCTGTGGGACAAGCTGCAGAATCAGCAGCTTTTCAAAACTGACTTCAGAAAGCTGTATTCCCTCTCAATCTCATCACATATACTGATGGCTTCAAAGACAGCCAAGGAGTTTCAGATGAAGGCTACTGTCTATACTGAGGAACAAATCAATCTCTGAAGCTTGATAAGCTGCCTCTGAGCTGCACTGCTGAGGTCTTTGATGCTGAAGTGCTTGCAGCAGTTGCTGGTCTCAAGGCAGCACTACAGAACTCCTTCTCTATGTTCACACAGCACATTATAGTGGCTCTAGACAATGAAGAGGCTGCAATAAGACTTCACACAGACACATTCACATGAACATCTTTTCTCATCTTTGCTAAGTTCAATGAACTCTGCAGGTCCTGGACAAAACAGAGCTCAGGTCCAGCTGGCTCAAGACAGATCTATGTTTGATGATGCTTCAGCCATGCTGAAATTCCAGACAATGATGCTGCAGATGCTGTGGCCAAGTCAATCTGCACAATGAAATGCACTCACCACACTCTGATTCTGGTGTGAGTCAAATTCTATGCTAAAGAATGCTTCAATGCCTCACTGCAACAATACTGGAGCTTCAATAGCACATCACAATACAAGAACCTTAATATCTCAATGTCAAAAGAACTCTCCTCTGAGCTCACTCTCCCTCAAAGGAATCTAGGCCACTTGCTGATAGCTAGAACAGACCACAGTGACTTTGCAGTCTATCATCACAAATGAGCACATGACAACACACTTCTCATCTGCTCTTGCAGCTGAGATAAGACCTCTGAGCACTTCTTCTTTTGCTGAAAAGACTGGAACATTGAACAAATTAAAACCTCTGAAGCATGTCAAGAATCAAAGAAAGCAATTGACTGGCTTCTCAGCACAGTAAGAGAAGCTATGATCTTCTCTATCTGATGCACTAATACCTGCTTCTTCATCAACATCCAATGCTGCTACTAGAACCTGTTCAACATCTGACTTCTCTCTCCCCCTCTCTCTTTTCTATGCTTCTTATATACATTTCTCATCACCTCTACACATCACTCTAGAAGTCCTTGACTTCCTCAGTCCTGTAATCTTCAGCTACTATGTCATTCAGAACCTTCAGAACAGAGGCTACTCTGTACATAGACTCTCAAGAGGGCTTCAGCTGACTAGACATGTCAGACAGCAGACTAGCTGCTGCACTGACATGTCTGATATTCTTAAAAAGATGCTGTGACTGTGACAGCAGACTATTCTTAGTCAGCTGATCACATGCCTCCAGGCATTAAATAAGTAATAATAATAATAATAATAACACCTCTCCACGCACCAACATGTGAGATATTATATCCCTGCGTATTCAAAATCTAGCTATTCTATCCTAGATGTCAACTGAAACACACTACATACAAGTTTTTGCTAGAATGAACTAATTTCCTTGTGAAAGACCCAGTAAGCTAATAAAATGCTTAAATGCCATTGTGCTCAAAGGTTTTGTAAGTCCATTAGCTGTCATATCTTCTATAGGAACATGGTTAATTGATATCACTCCCTCATTCAATTGTGTACAGGAATAGTGAAATCTAGTATCAATATGCTTGCTATGTGCAGTAATTGCTGTCACAGTGGCAAGATCAATTGAGCTCTTATTATCTACCTTAATCTGCAGGGGTTCTTTGTAATAAATTTCATATTCAACATTATATTACAAATTCATATAGCCTCACATATAGCTTTACTAAGTGTTACATATTCAGCTTCATTAGAGCTCAAAGAGATGCAAGATTGCTTAGAGAATCATCAAGAAATTGAGACTCTTATCAGCAAGAAAACAAAATTTGATGTAGATTTTCAATTATCATTTAAAGGTTCTACTCAATCAGAATCTATATATTCAGTGAGCATAAATATAGTATTTA